GAGGAATGTTGCTCACTGGCATGTTCTGCCTGTTTGCTGGTGGGACTAGGGAGGTAATTCATTTTGGTCAAGTGCTTGCCATACAAACACAAAGACCTGAGTTGGATCCCAAGAACCTTTGTAAAACAGCCAGGCATGGTAACACATGCCTATTATCCCAGTACTTTGGAATTATAAAAAAAAAAAAAAAAAAAAAAAAAAAAAAATTGTAGGTTTGGCAGCATGTGCTTTGTAATCCTGAAATATGTGACATCAGTCAACTGACCTTGCTAAAATCCATGAGTTTAGAAAGAGCCATTGTCTCAAAAAAGTCTTATAAAACCAAAGTGAATGGCATGTGGACCTCCTTCATATACATATATAAACACACAGGTGGAAACTGGTTTCATCAATTATTATTCAAAAACTGAACAGTAGAGTGGAGTATCAGTGTTTGCTACAGCCCTGTAGGAGTCCTTCAGGCCCATCTCCCTTCACCACCGAAAATGTTTTAAGCCCAGTGAAACCCTGAATCTCTAATGGGTAGGTTCCTGCTTCAGGAGTTGTAATAGAAACAACCTCCTTTCCTGGTTGTCTGTTTTGGATTGACACTGACTTCATAACAGTTTTGGCTACTAATTTCCTTCTGTGTTGTCCCATCACTAACTCTCAGGTATGAACACAATCGTTGAGCCTGTAGGTTCAGGTTTGTTTATTGTTGTAGTTAATGTGGCAGCCAGGCATAGTGGCGCACACCTTTAGTCCCAGTATTTAGGAGGCGAGATCAGGGGATCTCTGAGTTAAAGACTGGTCTGGTCTACATAGCAAGTTCCAGGAGAGCCAGGGATACACAGAGAAGTCCTGTCTCACAAAACAACAACAAAAGCAAGCTTTTGGGGGCTGGACAGATGGCTCAGTGGTTAAGTACTGGCCATTCTTCCAGAGGACCTCACTCCACTCCCAGCACATTGCAGCTCACAACTGTCTGTAACTCCAGGGAAATCCGACACCCTCATGAAGATATATATGCAGGCAAAATGCTAATACATATAAAATAAAAATGAATCCGTTTTTAAAAATTAAAAAACAAATGGATTAACAGTAAGTTCTATCCATCATCCTTGACAGAATTTACCAATGTACTCCCCAGACTCCGGTCTTAACCCTTTCGTTTAGTCTAAGCTGGTTCTTTTTCTTCTGTAATTCATCCTTAACCTAGTCTATATTTGTTTTCAATTTTAGTTACTAAACCAAGGAGATTTAACTGAAAGACAGACATGAGTATGCTGGCTCCTGGAGGAGGGGATCTATCTGACCCCAGAGTGCATGATGGGAACAGATCCAAAGGCTTACATTCTGCCAGAACTGAAATGAATCTGTGAAGGACAAAGACCTTACCTTGCCTGTGTTCATCTTCCCTGGCAGAGAAGAGGGGTGCCTGAGAGCTTCTGTTCAGCCTCCATCTGATCCAGACAGAGTGGGGCAGTGTGGGGGCAGTGCTATGGGCTGGATACCTATAGCTGCTTCTCTTCCTACTGCAGAGTTTCGGGTTGACTTCTCTCAAAAGCAAGTTTAATGATGTGTTGGATGAAGATTTTCATTGTGACTGTTCAGGTTTTCCTTCGAAGAGTTTTCATCCTAGATAGACCCAGCCATCTTTTCATATGATTGAATCATGTCCTGCCTCCAACCACAGAACTTCACCAGGACATTGAATTTTCTAGATGCCTTGTTGCTTTGAAGAAGGGAGTAATGCCAGTTATGTTGTGGTATTCTTCCTTTAGCAACCTGAGTAAAAGACTCTCAGCCATTGGGCTGTAAAAATAAATTACTTGAATCTCCCCTTGGCCCAGGCTGAGGTACACCTCTTTCTTCTTGGTCATTTTTTTGTTTTTGTTATAGGACTTAAAAATAGCATGTTATGAGGTTTTTGTTTTTGTTTTGTTTTGTTTTAAGTTAAAAACCACATGATCTAGAGTTTCAGTTTTCCTTTTAAATAAACAAAACAACCTACTTAGCTCTGGCTCTTGTTTTAGACCAGTGGTTCTGAATCTTCCTAATGCTGCAACCCTTTAATACAGTTCCTCGTGTTGTTGTGAGCCCTCAACATAAAATTATCTTCATTGCCAATTCATAACTTTAATTTTGCTACGGTTATGAATTGTAATGTAAATATCTGATGTGGAGGCTATCTGATGGGGTCACCATCCACAGGTTGAGAGCTGCTGTTTTAGATAGATGTGTTCTTAAAGAAGTCAAGAAAATAATCCAGCCTTTCTCTTTAAGATAAAGCACTGAAAAGAAGATGGAAAGGGGGCTAGGGATAGGAGCTCGTGCCTTTAAGGCAGTCAGATCTCTTACGAGTTTGAGACTGACTACCTTGTCACAAAAGTTCCAGGGCAGCCAAGTCTACACAGTAAGACACTGTCTTAAGAAAACAAAAAGGGCACTAATTAGCCAGGTGTGGTGGTGCCAAACATTCAGAGGACAGATTTCTGAGTTTGAGGCCTGATCTACATAGGGAATTCCAAAATAGCCAAGGCTACATAGTAAGAACTTGTCTCCAAACAGATAAAGAAAGGAAAAACACACTTTTTGGCCTAGAGAGATGGCATTGTAGTAGTTAAGAACACTTGCTGCTCCTCCAGAGGACCCCAGTTCAGTTCCTAGCACCTACATCAACCAGTTCACAACACCCTCTACCTCCAGCTCCAAGGGATCTGATGTCCACACCTGCGTGGCTGGCTTCTGTGGGTACCTGCACTCATGCACGTATCGCCACAACACACAACATAGACATAATTTGAAAAATAGGAAAAAAAGCTACTATAAGATAGGGTTCTGGTTGACACTATAGAGGTAAAACTGAACTGAGGAGTCTTATAAAACTGAACACCAAGCCAGGTGATGGTGGCCTTTGCCTTTAATCCCAGCACTTGACAGGCAGAGACAGGCAGATCCACATTTGAGGCCAGTGTGAGCTACATAGAGAAACCATCTTGAAAAAGAAAACTTGACACCACTGTTTTTGTTTAGAACTGGTGAACCTAAGCTGCTGCTGCTGGTGGCACTGCAGCAGGGTGCACACCTTAAGAGTGAGTTCCAAGACAGGCTCTAAAGCAACACAGAGAAACCCTGTCTTGAAAAACCAAAAAAGAAAAGGAAAAGGGGAGAGGGTGTTGGTGAAGAGGTTAAGAGCACTCATTGGCTGCTCTTCCAGAGGACTGGAGTTTGATTTCCAGTAACCACATGGTGGCTCACAACCACCTACCTATAATGGGATCTGGTGCCCTCTTCTGGCATGCATACAAACATGCAGGCAGAACTGTATACATAATAAACGAATCTTAAAAAATCAAGCAAAGAAAGATGGCAAACCCAAATTATTAGAGTATTAGACCCATCCAAAAAATCACAATGTTTGTCTTGGAAAATAGCAGTAATAAAGGGTATTTCAGATTCTTTTCCAGAAATTGTTAGACATGACAAATGGGTTTCTATAATCTGTTATCTGCCTATAGCACAATTAAATGACAAGAAAAACACCCCAAAGATCACCTACTAGTACAAAATCATAGTGTTCAGAGTAGTTTTATTTAAAATGAATCTTATGCTGATACATGCAAATAGTGCAGTGTTGAATTGGCACTCACAATTATTCTTCAATATGGAGACTAAGATCATAGCAATCACTTGTTTTTCCAAAACCCAGGACTTTTTTGCCCTGTAGAGGCCATTTAACAATGTCTGGAAACATTTTTGGTTGTCAGGAACCCAAAGGGGTGCTACAGGGCACACAATAGGTAGAGGCAAAGGGGTGCAAAAAATGTCAACAAACAATAGAAACGGACCTGCCCCTGTGTGTCAGATGCTAATGATAAGGCCTGTGCTTAAGGTTGCAGATGTGGACTAACTGAGAAATGTTTTATTTTACACACTATTCCTAAATCTTTAGCTGCCAGAGTGCCAGATTTCTGGCTGCTGCTGAGAATATGTTTTCCAGAGGTCCTGGATCTCTATTTCCTTACTGCTGCCTGTTTTCTACATGCATTCCTCTTATACGGACTCTGGACTCTGTAGGTGTGGGCTTCTACCTTGTTTTCTATTCCTACTCCTTAGTGTCAATCATAAAGCAAGAACCTTTAACATTGGGCTAGGACCCCTCCACCCTCCGCTTTGATCTCTGCAAGCCATTTCTGTCATTCTCTCACTTCCCTAGCTGTAGCCTTGTAAACTCAAGCTCCTCACCTAGTTGGCTGCTTGATGATCAAATGTGATGATGATGAGCGAACTGCTTCCATAAGCTTTGGTTAGCTGCTCAAGCCCTTGTCCTTCCAGCTCCTCCTTGGATCAGCAGGCTGGTCTAGAGTCTTCTAAATCCTGCCAGGAATCTTGGATGCTGAGTTTTATAGTTTCATGAATGCTGAAAAACAATATTGTAAATGGAAAGGATGTATAAGGTTTAAGAACCATTTCAACGGGCTGGAGAGATGGCTCAGGTTAAGAGCACTGGCTGCTCTTCCAGAGGTCCTGATTTCTATCCCAGCAACTACATGGTGGCTCACAACCATCTATAATGATATCTGGTGCCCTCTTCTGGCCTGCAAGCAAACACTCAGGCAGAACACTGTATACATAATAAATAAAATCTTAGAAAGAAAGGAAGGAAGGAAGGAAGAAAAAGAAAAGAATGGTCTTAACATTTTTGTTATTTTTTTTTGGTAGAAATGGAATTCTAAAAACAGGAATTACTTGGACTTAAACTGGAAATAATAGTAATATTCTACTTTTCCTCTTTGCCTTATATCAGTTATGAAAGAGGTGATGCCAGAGAGTTAGCTATAAGGAGAAGGTCTGCCAGACAAGTGGTTTCATCATCTCACAAGTAGAGGTGTCTGGACAAGTTGTTATGTAAGTACAGTTCTGTAATCTCAAAATGAATAACTTCTCTAAGTTTGCTCCTAGTGGCATCATTGGGGATGGATGGCAAGTTAGAGCTATGGGCTGATAGCAGGCTCTCTTTACCTAGGCGAATCCTTGACTTTGCCTTTCTCCTTGCAGTGCATAGCCTGTGTGTCTTGACTCTTGGTTTGCACGAACTCTTCCTCCAGGCCAGCCTGCCTCAGGGTGTCCCGATACCGTTCCTCTGCTTCTTTCCTGGCAAGTGCCTGTGGAGTGGAGGAGCTGGCTGACTAGCAGTCCCCCGATTTATGATTCTGAGTCACCCAGGTCTTTATAACGCTGCCCCTCTCACTACCCCACCTTTAGCGCTAGACAAAAGTTGGCACAAAAATTACTTAAGAGCCTTGTTTGCTTTATAGCCATACTTGGTAAGAGGAGCTCCATGGGGATCTTTTTCAAATGTAGGTGTTCATTGACCTACAATTTATTTACCTACAATTCTGTATTCTGTATTCTAACACTTCTGGGAGGTGTTAGCTATTAATTAATTTGAGAGCCACACCTTTGAAAAGCACCCAAGCTATGATCAGGAAGACTAACATACTAAAAGTATTGAGCAGAAGGAAGATGGTCTGCATGTAGCTAGAAGTAGCCTATTTTGTTTTATATATTCAAGCACAAAACTTTGTAGAATTTCTAGAATGCTGAAAGATCTGTTGGGAGAAGCAGAATTAGCTTCTTTGACAAAAGCGGATTTAAAGAGGTCAGCATAAGTAGATTCTAGACTGCCCAGCATGGCGGTGGCATGGGGGGAGGTGGAGAGAGGGTTATCTGCAGCAGCAGGAGACCCACCACTACCTAGGAATATCACAGGCTATATGATGGAGTTCTCACCCACAATGAACCACAGAGCCAGATACAGCGCTTTAACTGCCTGGGACCAGTCTCTCTGAGGGTTAGAGCTTCCTTAGGGAGATCTCAACTGAATTTATCTTCTCTTAAAGTCCAGAGAATGTTTTCAAATGATTTTTTCAGCCTAAAAGCCACTTAATCTGGAAAGGGTCTTGTGGGGTGCTTAAAGGTACCCTGACCCTCAAGGACCTATGTTTGGAGTAAAGTACTATTAATAAAGCAAATTTCCTTTGTCATTAACCAAGTGCCTGATATAAGCAATGTAAAAGCTGGGTGTGGTGGTGCATGTCTGTAATCCCAGTATGGGGTGGGGGTGGATTAAGGCAGGAGGATGGTGGGTTCAAGTCCAGCCTGGGCTCAATGAGTTATAGGTCAGTTTGAGCTACATAAAAAGAAACCCTGCCTTAAATACCTTGATACTTTAAAAAATGAAAGTTGATATTTGTATTTGGCTCATGGTTTCAGAAGTTTGAGTCCATGAACCCTTGAGCTGTCACTTTGAACTTCTGGCAAGGCTGAACACTATGAAGGTGGAATCCTATGGCAGAAGCTGTGCATGACATGGTGGCCAGAAATCAAAGAGAGGGTCTATGTACCCGTGCCTTTTATCACCTGGGCCCACAGCCTATGAGGACACTCAGGCTGCCCATGGTCAAGGTGGGTCTTCTTCATTCCTCAGTTAGTTCTTACTGGAGACACCCACACAGATACCCAGAGGTGTGCTGTGCTATTTTAACTTTCTGGGTCATTTAGTACAATCAAATGGAAATGATTAACCATCGTGGAGTTCAATGAAGTATATCTTAGTCTTAAGGAACTGTTTAATACTCACATAGTAAAATCTTTTCAGAGTTTCTAAGAAGCCTTGACCCAGGGTAGAAAAGAGCTGAGACTCTGGGTTTACCTTGGTAACTTGCTCGAAGAGAAAGGGCCTAGTTTGAATTCTTCTCTTCATTTCCTCCAATTCTTTCTTATATTCCTTTGTTCTTTTACGGTCATTGTTCCTGGAATTAACAAAGTTTCTTAGAAGCAACCAATCTTTTTCGACCAGAAAACCCTTCATTCATGTTAAGTAGTCATTCCTCATGTACACTGTGAATTCACACTGCCTGCCAAAATCCTTCACTAACTCTGATGACTCAGTTTACTGTGACTCCATTTTACTATTTCAAAGCCAGGGATGTGCTGGAACCTAAAACAGGCACCCTCTGAACACGGGGGACACTGACCGGTTCTCTCTGAGCTTTGCTTTGAACACCTCTTCCAGGCTTTTATGGGGATCCATGGCTTTTGCCCGCAAGGTCACAGATTTGGACATGGCTTGACAGTTCTTTTTGTGTACTTCCAACCACTGAATGCTCTTGTCTGATTTGTCCTTTTTTTCAAGTGCCATTCTAAAAGAGAGAGCAAAAATAACAGATAACCTGGTGCATTTATAAGCAATCTTAGTATTTTCTTTTTTTAAAGATTTTTTTGTTTGTTTATGTGTATTTTTTGGGGGTAGGGGTGTGGCAGGTGCCCTCAGCTTTACGAATATGGCATGAGGCTCCCATGGCAGGGAACAAACAAATATGCCATCAGGCAGGACTTTTGTGGAAAGTTTATTGAGGGGAGGGGGAAGACAGAAAGGAAGAGAGACAGTGACCTGCCTCCTCAGAAAATGGCAGAGAGAGGGGGAGTAGGCGGGGCCTGCCTCTTAAAGGAACCTTTGCACTCTCATACAGAGCCAGGGTACTGCCTGTCATGTGCAGAGGTGGCACACTCTGCCAGGTCCCCAAGGGATGGGGCCAGGTTTGCCTGGATTACAAGACCCAGGGTCCAGAGCGGGCATCAAATGTGGAGCTGGAGTGACAGGCAGTTGTAAGCTGCCCAGTGTGTGTGCTGGGAACCATATTCAAGTCTTCTGTAGGATATGCTCTTAACCACTGAGCCATCTTCAGTCCCCAGCTGGTGTTTCTAGGAATAAAATATTTTCTATAAATTTGCCACAAGTACATTTCCAGAAAGAATGATTCTGGGGATGGGCATGGTGGCACACACCTGTAACCCCAGCACTTGAGAGCAGGATCAATGTTCAGGATGTCCCAGCTATATAGTAAGTTTGATGTCAGCCTGACCTATATGGGACCCCAACTCAACAAACAGCTATTCTGGGGTCCTGTGATTTCCCACCAAGAGATACCCATTTTTTGAACAGAACACACAATTTAAAATAGCTTTATAAAGCCAAAATTCAATAAATAGACCAGGCTTTTCCCTTATCTGGAATACTATAGCTACCATATACCAAGCTGCCTACCAAGGACCAAAGACCATTACATTTCATGTGATTCTTACAAGGCCCTGATGAGATAGGCAGGAGAGGCCCCCTTGTGACACAGGGGACTGAGAGGCAGAAAGCCTCTTGTTCACAGCTACTCAGTATGCAGAGGGGAAGCCAAAATCGGGACTAGGACGGTGGTTCCCTTAATCACCTAGCTACAAACAGTGGTCAGGCAGCAATTTAGGGTCCCAATTCTTTGAGAGGTTAAATCTCCAACTGCATAAAGGTCTACAAACAGGTTTTGTCCAATGAGGCAATGTGAATTCAACTTGAAGCAGTTGGTTCATGCAGTTATTCTGGAGTTCTGTGGTGGGTTCCACCAGAAGACAAAATAATCAAAGACTCTGCATGTAGCAATGCATTCAGCTGATCAGGAAGAAAGACACAAAAGCCTAATCTGCTAAAATGCCAAGCCTGCAGTTGGACAGTACATGTGATCTCCCCCTGGGCCTTGGGACACTGGTGTGCTTGGCCTGAGGGTAGTAACCTTGAAGTCTGAGGGAGGAGGGACTAACTCTGTATCCTAAGTATATTCCTGCAAGGTCTGAAGGAGAAGCAGGGTACTGCTATGCCCTGAGAGCCTCCTGGAGGCTCTGACACATTAGTCCTTTCCTGGGCTCAGCTTCAACATTAGATCACAGCTCCCTGGCTCACTTCAGAGTCTTGGCAGAGGACTTCCTGCTGGCTGAATGAGACCAGCTGAACTGTTAGAAAATCCACAGACTTGGAGTATAACTCAGTCGTACAAGGTAGAGTTGATCTTTAGTATTGAACGAAAGGGAGACAGAAAAGGAGGAGAAGGAAAAGAGCAGAAAAGGAAAACAGGAACTGCTTCCCAGCAGACCTGATGTTCCCTGAGATGAACCTCTGAGCAATGGCTGCCGTCTTGACTGTGGTGATGCTCAAGTCTAAATTTGTATTCCCCATGGCTACCTTTCCCTTTCACACACAGGCTTTTGTTTTGTAAGAAAAGGACACTGACCGGGGGCGGTGGTGGTGCATGCCTTTAATCCCAGTATTTGCGATTAAAGCAGGAGGATCTCTGTGAGTTCAAGACCAGCCTGGTCTACAGAGTTACTTCCAGGACAGGCTCTAAAGCCACAGAGAAACTGTCTCAAAAAACCAAAAAAAAAAAAAAAAAGAAAGAAAGAAAAAAGAAAAGGTCACTGAGCACACTGCAAGGGACAGCAGGCTGGACAATAACACTACAAACAGTCTCATAGGAAGGCTTTACAGAGTCTCTTTATGGAAACGCCCTTCTCCGTAGCCTCTGTCTGACTCGTTCCTCTTTATTCTTTGGAGGGGACAATTCTCACAGTATGCATGTGGAAGTTGGGGGTAACTTGCAAGAGTCAGTTCTCACATTCTATCACGTGGGTCTGGGATTGAACTGAGGTTGGCAGGCTTGCTAGCAAGTGCATCTATCCACTCTGCCTTCTGGTGGCCCCAACTTATGTTTTGAGATAGCAGCTGCTCACTGAATCTAGAACCCCCTTTTTGGCTAGACTGGCCATCCAACAAGCTGGAGGCTTTGCCTCTCTCTCACTACTGACCTGAAAGTGTAAGAGTTGTGGGCATATTGACATACTTCCACGTGGGTGCTGGGGATCTGAACTCGGGTCCTCATGTTTGCTCAGCAAATGCTTAACCAACTGAGCCATCTCCCCAGTCCCTTCCTCCTTAGTCTTACTCTTCATGTTTTACCTTAGTCATGAGACCCGTAAGCTGTGAGACCACTACCCTAAGCTTCCCTGTGTCGTCATAGTCCTCTATGCTTGCACTGCTCATAAACAGGGCAATCACCCTGAAAAGTCCCACGTTTCAGACTTCATGTTACTCTCTAAGGACTCCAGGGCATCTCTGGTGTAACTTTGTGTCTTGCACTAAGACCCTAGAAGGATTTGCTGAGTGACAGTACATATACCTGCCCCATCAGAGAATTCCTTCAGCCCCTTGAGGTGTTACTGATAATGGCAGAAGAGGCCAGTTTTAGTATTTGGGACCAAAACCTGTCATGCATCTGCTGTGGCCTCCTTACTCACCTGACTGCAGATTCCCTCTTCCTCGTAGCATCTGTGATGTGCACTGGGAGGGTGTTGGCAGAAAAGGAAGCAAGACCACTCAGAGAATGCCTCCTTGGCAGCGGGGTAGCTGCCGGCTGAGGGGACTTCTGCAAGAAAGGAGGGCTGGCATTGATGACAACATGTGATTAGTTGTTTTTTGTTTGTTGTTTGTTTTGTTTTGTTTTTCAAGACAGGGTTTCTCTGTGGCTCTGGAGCCTGTCCTAGAGCTAGCTCTTGTAGACCAGGCTGGTCTCGAACTCACAGAGATCTGTCTCCTGAGTGCTGGGATTAAAGGTGTGCGCCACCACCGCCTAGCCAACAACATGTGATTAGTTTCTATCCTAATTAGGATTCAGTTTCAGTGAAGGAGTAGAGATGATAATCTTTATTTCCCCCACCCTCTGAGGATAAGGAGGACAAGATCTTAATTAGTTACAAGGTCCATACTTGCATATCAATCCTAATGTTTTTAATCAAGTAAGAAGGCTTCTTGGAATTGTGTGAGTAGCTTTGTCAATTTAATACACTCTAGAACTATTTGGAAAGAGAATCTCATTATGGAACTGTCTAGATCAGGTGGGCCTGGGGGGCATGTCTATAGGGGTATGAGGGATTATCTTGATTATGTTAATTAAGGTGGGAAGACCACCCACTATATGAGTGGCGAAATCGAACACAAGTATGCATTCAATCTCTCTTTGATCTTGACTATAAATATGACAAGCTGCTTCAAGTCCTGTTACTGTGACTTCCCAGCTATACCAGACTGCAGCCTGGGAATATGAGCTAGAATGAGCCATTTCTCCCTAAGCTTCTTTGGTCAAAGTATTTTATCATATTGACAGGAAACAAAGCCAACACAGACTGGGCTCTCAGACTTGTTTGGAATTAACATTTGCAAAAATCCCTCTAGGGAGGTGTGAAAGGGAATGTTCTTGTTTTCAGATTATAGAAGGTCGATCTGTGTGCAACTGAGCAGGTGTTCAAATAAATAAATAAATAAAAACAGTGCCTTCCTTTGAGACCTGGGCCTACTCTATTGTACTTCAGGCCTCAGACCCTGACCCTCCCTGCTACCTGCCTGGGTTCTTATCTTCCCTCCTTCTGCAGTAGTGGCATCACAGGACCGTGGAGTGTGACACAAGTTGGCAGTCCGTAGAAGGAAGGGCTTGTTTCGAGTTGTTTCCCGGGTCTCCCGTCTCTTGGCAGCTCTTTTCTGGAAAGCCTTGTAAAGGCCCTCATAGTCAGGGACCACAGAGTTCACTCGAGGCCGGAATCCAAACTCAGTCTGTAGAAAGTTCAGCTTTTCCTCCTGGGTGCGGGTAGCTGTGCGGGGAGCCCGGCTACCAGAGCTGCTGATGGGGGATGAAGCCATCTGGAGCATGTCCGTGGCTCGCATCTGGATTCGAATTTTCCTGAGGAGCTCCGCTTCTGTGAAGGAGGCAGTGAAGGACAGAGTCTCACTATGTAGACCAGATTGGTTTCCAATCTATCTAATACCCTCCTGCCTTGACCTCCTGAGTGAGTTGCACATGCGACCACAGGCCCAAACTTACCCTCATCTAAACACTAAGAGTAGTTAGTGTGCTAAATCCAGTGACAAATAATGGGGAAAAAATTAGTGACTAGCTCCTCTCCAGGATGAGGGAGGGAGAGGTGGCTGTCTCAGAGGCAGCAAGCTGGAAGCGCCACTGGCTGTTGGAGGTCCTTTATGACATGATCTTAGCTCCCATACCTATGCTAGTCCAGAGGAATTCACGTGTGCTTACAGAGGCAGGTCACCCGGCTGAGTATTGGGGGGGGGGGAGGGCGGAAGTGGAAGCGGAGGGGTGGAGGAGGTGTTGTTATAGGACCTTTCTATAGATCAGTGGTTCTCAACCTGTGGGTCGAGACCCCATCAAATAGCCTTTATATCAGATATTTACATTATGATTCATGGTAGTAGCAAATTTCAGTTTATGAAGTAGCAATGAAATCATTTTATGGTTGGGGGTCACCACAACATGAGGAACTGTATTAAAGGGTTGCAGCTTAGGGAGGTTGAGAACCCCTGCGGACAGTACCAACTCTCGGCTGGCCTACACCGTGCATGGGAAATCTCCACACCAGTGTAGTCACTGAACCTTCATCCTAAATCCCTGTAGCACCTCCGGGAACCCCCAGCCAGGGGTAGCCAGAGGTGTCAAGAGTATCCTTACCCTGGAGTTTGTCCCCAAGGGCTGGTTCCAGAATGGCCTTGGGGATCCTTCTAGTGGCCTTCTTTGGGGGGACCTTGGCCTGAGGCGCTGCAGCCGAGTCTGTCTGTGGAGCAGCTTCCTTTTGGTGTTCTTTCTTTTCAAGGAAGCTGAAGGGCTTCAAGGAGGATAGAAGCAGTTCCTTCCTCTTCTGGATCCCTGCACGCCTCCGTGCCTCGCTGCGCTCGACGATCTCCTGGTAGAGCGGAAGGTAGACATGCGCAGGCACAGGCTGGGCCCGGAACTGCCGATAGCACTCTGCCTCCTCCTGGCCCTGCTTCTGGGCCTGTAGCCGTTCTAGCTCAAAAGAGGCAGGTGAGGCCAGCCACTGGGCCTTCTTCCGGGCCTCACGCAGTGTCATGCGGAAGGGCTGAGGGACAGTGATGGAGGATGCCCAGGAGCAGACACTTCTGTGCTGAGAGGGAGGCCCAGAGTCTGAGGTTGGCAGGGTCTGAGCCTTGGGCATGTCAGAGGGGAGGCTGGTCATGGAGCTGCAGCGCCTCATGGAACCACACCTGGAGGAGAAAGCAGAGCTGTGCAGGGACCCAGCTGTCAGGATGCGCGGATCCTCTCAGAGACCCTCCCCGCCCCAAAGCTCCAAAGGCCTCTAAGTTCTTAACCTCACCAGCAAAGATTCCCTTCTTGCCACAGGCAATCCCAGCAGCCCAATGCGAGCTATCTTCTAAGAATTCATGCAGGATTTGCCACTTTGTACTCTGATAGCTGCATAAGATAAGCAGAGTAGTGGGGGGGGGGGGTAGCACAGGACCCAGTGAGAGGATCCAATTCAAACTTTGAGGTGTTTAGATCTCCAGGTACAGTGGCGAGAATAATGGCCGTTTATAGGGTTATTGGGAAGAGAGTACTATTAAATAAGATAAGGATGGTGGCGCATGCCTGTAACCCAAGCCCTTGAGAGGTTCAGGGGTTTCAGGGAGGCCTGGAGTACATGAGACTGTGTCTCAAAAAGAGAGGAAACAAGCAGACAAGGAAACAAACAAAACTCCCCACAAACCCAAAGATAAAGTATATATGCACTGGAAGACTTGGCCCCAGACAATGACCTTCGTCGTTTTTGGAGGAAAGGGTCTAGGAAAGGCGTCCCTTTGGATGGTCTAGTGCTTCATTAAGTAAGTGCTGCTCAGAGTTACTTAGGATCTCTGAGTAAGACTCAAAACATGTGGGCTGGAGAGATGGTTCCACAGTTAAAAGCATTTGCTGCTCTTCCGTAGGACCAGGGTTTGATTCTCAGCACTCACATGGCAACATAGAACTGTCTGTACCTTCAGCTCCAGGGAATCCAATGTTTTGTTCTCCATGCTCTCAAGATATGTACGTGGTACACATACACTCAGGCAAAACACCCACAGATCCCCCCCCCCCCAAATAGTATTTTAAGAAAGAATCACAAAGTGTGGTTGGATCCAAGAGGTACTTCTGGGCTGGGCCTTAGGTAAGTGACAATTTGTAGAGGGTCTTACAAAGGGGAAGGCAAGGCCCTGAGATACTTGGTGTGCCTGGCCTGGAGTGCCGGAGTGTGGCAGCCACTGAGTGCAAGGTCTTACCTAAGAGATGGAGGGTTCTGGACCTGTGGTTTCCCCCTGCTCTTGTCTTGGAAGAAGCTCTCCAAGTCTCCCTCATCTTCTGAGCCACTCTGGTCACTGTCTGGGTCGGACTGAAAGGGAGACTCCAACAGGCCCCACCTGCAGCTCTGCTTTCTAACCTGTAGGGCCCTATAAAAGCTCCCAGTGGAGTCAGAAGTAGAATCGGTTTCCTCCTCTGGGCTGAGGAACTCATGGAGTTTGCCAGCTCTGGACAAAACCAGTCCTTCTCCAGACTGCTCATCTTCTGTCTCAGTGTCTGAGGAGGATTTGGGGGGAAATATCTAAAACAATATAAATCAATAGTGAGTTAAACTCTAATTTCAAAGGTACTCAAAAATGACTTTAACCTTACTTTGAATAAGCCCCAGTATATTAGGAACTAAGAAGGAGCTAAGAAAGTGTGTTCTTCACTCAAAAGACATTTTACAGTACCATGTATTATATGCCTGACTATGGGCATCAAAGGTGGCAGACAAGCTAATGCCAGCTCCCTGCTCCATTCAGCACAGAGTACCTAATCCGAACCACGTTCTGTTCTCGGTGCTCCAGGAACCCTGCCCCTCACCTTGGCTGCACTCTGTTCCCAGGGTTACTTGGGATTTATGTAATTGTTTCCCATCTTCCTTTTATTCTGCATGGACATTCTCACTTTCCTCATATCCTAACCAATTATTACAATGGATGATGAACAGGAGGGACGTGCGCAGGTGAGAGAGCTTTTAAATGCTTCAAGGGCTAGGACTGAAGCTCAGCGGTGGAGCCATGTGGAGCATGCTCAAGGGTTGGCCTCGATCCCCAGCACTGTGAAGCACCAGGGTCAAAACTACATCCATCCATGTGTACATAAGAAAACATGGGTTGGGTGCTGAGTATGCCATGAATCTTGTGTTCTAGTGAGAGCAGGCAGAAACCAGGATAGCATAACTATGTCCTGGGAAAGCTTTTCTGCCCATATATGTCAGAGGTCACCAGGAATGCACCAATAATCAGGATTAAATTCATCAATTAGCTGCACAACTAATGGAAAACTATAGCAAATGTGCGGGCATAGATTTTTTTTCTTAAGGATTTGTATTCTGACTGTTTTGAGAGGAGGGTTAGGGGCCAACTTTGGAAGGGGCTGTGATGAATGGAGAACAGTCTAGTGGTAAGGTAGATAACTGTATAATTTTTTTTTCACTGAAAAACTGAGAACAATGCAGGACAAAGGGAAGCAATTGATAAGTAAGTATCATCACTTAGGAGAAAATAGCAATTTGCAACTATGTTATGGACTGACCCCTCAAAAATACTTTTTTTTTTTTTTTTTTTGTAATCTTGCTTTTTGGCCTTGGCTGTATTTGTGTCTGTTAGTTTCAATGACACAGATGTTCTTTTACTTCTGATTTGTCTAATGTAGACAAATCCATTCTACATTAAAGTGTATTAAGTAACAGTTCACTAATATGTAGAGGGAAGTTTCTGTCCCACCTGGTCCTGCATTTAATCCCAGATAAACACACAGAGGCTTCTATTAATTATAAACTGTTTGGCCAATGGCTCAGGCTTCTTATTAGTTAGCTCCCTCTTAATTGCTAACCCATTTCTATTAGTCTGTGTATCTCCACATGGCTTTGGCTTATGATGCCCAGACCTCTGGCTTCCTTGGCAGCTATGTGGCATCTCTCTGACTCACTTCCTACCTTTCTCTATCCTTGTTTAGATTTCCTGCCTGGCTAAATCCTGCCTGTCTATTGGCCAAAACAGCTTTATTCATCAACCAATAAGAGAAATATATATTCACAACTTAGAGAAGGACATCCCCCTCATCACTAATACATTCACCCAGTGAGCATCTAGCTTACCAACAGAGGGCACTTATAGAATAGCTATTGTTCAATGAATTAATTTAAAAATGTAAAAAAAAAAAAGGAATAACTATTGTTACTCTCCTGTGTGTGACTCACAGGAAGCTGCAAGTCACTGCTACTGCCCAACACAGAGTATCCTATTGCTATTAAGAGAAAGAATGAAATCTGGGGCTGGAGATTTCACCTCCAGCCATAAAGTTATTTTTGTTGCTACTTCCGAAGTGTAGTTTTGCTACTGTTATGAATCATAATGTAAATATCTGATATGCCACCTTTATGAAAGGGTCATCCCACCCCCAAGGGGGTCAGGACTCACAAGTTGAGAATCACTGCCCTAAAAAAAAAAAAAGAAACTGTAGCGTTTAGTAGATTTTTTTTTTTTTAATTTCTTTTAACCCTCTCACATCGGTTCTCACTCTGTCAGCCCCAATCAACCACCAGTCTACATTCTCTCTTTATACATTTAGGGGCAAATTGTTTAATCTATCTGTTTTCTAGAAAATTAGGTTGACAGGAGACACATATAATTGGATGAACTTTAGTATATTGGCAAAGCTGCGTATTTATCACTACAGTAAGTTTTGGTATATTTTCCTACTCTGAAACAACAAGCTGTGCGTGGTGGCGCATGCCTTTAATCCCAGCACTCAGGAGGCAAACGCAGGTGGGTCTCTGTGAGTTCAAGGCCAGCCTTGTCTACAGAGTGAGTTACAGGACAGCCAAAGATACACAGAGAAACTCTGTCTCGAAAAAACAAAACAACAAAAACCTTGGAAGCATTTAGAAATCTCTCCCTGTTTTCTTCCGACCTCCTCAGTCCCATGCAATGACTTGCCCCTTAGATTTGCCTTTTCAGGATAATTATATGTAGATGAAAATCACTTTAATATTTTCAAGGTTAATTCGTGGTTTGTTATTGCTACGCTCCCCGATGTCAGACCTGGTACAAGAAGCAAGTGATTCAAGTCCCCAAGACAGATTCTCTCAATGTCTAAGCACAGGCAATTTTTTAATTCCACGCCCTTCGGTGACACGCCCGACTCTGTCTCCACGGCAACGTCAAACAGTTTCCTCTCTCGGGGATTCCTTTCTAAGGCATCTGCTTCCTCCTTTCTCCTCTCACCTCACGGCTCCACTCGGTGCATTCGGGGGCTCCGGCAGACCTCCCCACAGTCATCTTTCTAACCCGAGGCAGAAGCGGCGATGACAGCAACGGTGACAGCAGCGCGGCCGCCGGAGACTGCTAGCCACGCCCCATTATAGCGTTAGCTTCGGATTGGCTTCCAGGGTCCAGTCTGTCCCGCCCAAGGAGTCAAGAGGCGCTAGCTGATTGGTTTATTCTCTTCGCTCATCTTACTTCCGTTCTAAAGAAATGGCTGAAGCAACTCAGGGTTGAAGGCCTCTGCCCCGGAAGCACTGTCCCGGAAAGGTCCGTGGGGAGTCCAGGGCGCAGGCGCAGGTCACTATGGCGGCCCGCATTGGCTCGATGGCCGGCTTGCTGTGCGTCCGCTGGTGGAGTGCCGGGCCGCTTGCGGCCGGACGAGGCACTCTGGTTGCGTGTCGGCGTTTGGCGGGCTCCTCGGCCGACACCGTGTACGACGTGGTGGTGTCAGGAGGAGGCCTGGTGGGCGCTGCCATGGCTTGTGCCTTGGGTAGGTGCATCTCGACAGTGGCAGGACTGGGCTGCAGAGGACGAGCTCACAGAGGGAGTCGGGATGCTGTACTAGAGACCAAGCGTGCCTGTCCTGGTGGTTGGTTCGCTACCCTCCCAGGGGAGCCCTCGGGCCCGCAGGAGTGAGTGTGGTGCTCCAGCCCTGTGGGATCAGAAGTGGGCGAGCCTTATATGTCAGTCTGACCCTTGAACTGGCCAGGATTTATGAGCAGAGCACCACGGGAGGCTTTATAGTGTTGGATAGTAAATCAGGTTGGACTCGAACTCACAGACATTGCCTGCTTCTTTCTCCCGACAGCTGGGATTAAAGGTGTGCACCGCCGCCACCCGGCCCTAAAGCTGCTTAAGATATAGTTCACATAGTTGTAAGTCCTCCCACTTAAAGCATGCAGTGCAGTCCAGTGAGTTTTTAGTACATTCGCGGAGCTCTTCAATCACTACAAGTTCTAGCACATTTTCCTTACTCAAAAAAAAAAAAAAAAAAAAAAAAAACACAAAACAAAACAAAAATCTTGAAACTCATTAAAAGTTACTCCACTTTTCCTCAGCCCTAGACAGCGACTCTTGATAGTTGTTTAATGTAGGTGAAGGTATGCTTAGTGTTTTCACGGCTAGTCCATGTTGCAACATATATCAGAACAGTGCTCTCTTTGAGGGCCGAAACAATACTCAGTTGTGTGTATGTGCCACATTTTGTTGACTCGTTTATCAGCTGATGAATATTTGATTTGTTTTCACTTTGGCCTATAACAGGTAACATTCTGTGTGGACATAGCCTTGATTATATTGAGTCTGTTCTCATCAGTGGAATTTTTGGGTTAGGTGCTAACTAATGTTTTGAAGAACCGCCAAACTGTTTGGGAGATTGAACCATTTTACATTATCAGTAGGAATGTATGAATGGAGGAGAACTTTCTGTATGCCGTGAACATCAAAGCCGTTTTGGCCAATGGGCAGACAGGACTACCAGACTAGGAGAATTCTGGGAAGAGGAACACAGAGGAGTGGTGAGGGAGATGCCATGTAGCTGCATAGGGAGCAAAAGGTCCGGGCATCACCGGTAATCGAAGACCATATAGAGGCACAGATTAATAGAAATGGGTTAACAGTTAAGAGAGAGCTAGCCAACAAGAAGCTTGAGCCATAGGCCAAGCAGTTTGTAATTAATGTAAGCCTCTGTGTGTTTATTTGGGACTAAACGGCTGTGGGACCTGTCAGGACAGAAACTTATGTCTACATTTCCAGTTTCTCCTGATCCTCACAGCACTCACTACCATCTGTCTTTTTGTTTGTCCTCTTAGTGGGTTTGTGTTTATGTTTCCCTAATGACCAATGATGTTGACTAAATTTACCAAGTATGGGCATTGTGTGCCACCATTCCCGGTCCCTTTGAAACTTTAGTGTTCGTATTTTGGTGGCTTGCTCCTGTGTTAGATTTTTCTGTCCTTTTTCCATCTTTCCCAGTGCCGCAGGGAGGGCAGGCAGCTTTGCTTTTATCTTATTAACATTCACACACAATCCCGTATTGTGATTGCTTCCTTTAATGTCTTTCTTAGAACAGTACATTTTAAAACTCAGGAGTTAAAAATAGGTGGTAAAAAGCATGGTGGCAAACTCCTGTGATCCCAGCACTTGGAAGATAAAAGCAGAAGGATCAGAAGTTCAAAGTCATCCTTGAGTTACACAGTGATTTTAATTCAGTTCAGCATCAGGTACATAAAACCCTGTTAGTAAATAAATAAATAAGTAAAACCCAAACAAACAAAAATATGTAAGTAAGGCATTTCCAATAGTTTTTGTTTCGGTTTTTTTTTTTTTTTTTGAAATAAGGATCTACCTGTAGCTCTAGGTGGCCTGTATCTTTTAAGAGACTTCCCTGCCTCTTCCTCCCTAAAGTTGGGATTCTAAGCACATTCCTGATTCATATAGGTTTTATTAATTTTCCCCTTCAAGTCCACTCTGTCTTCATTTATTCTTCTTCAAACTCACAATTAATTTATATTTCAGGCTTGTAATTCCCTGTCACATTGAGTTTGGGAACAGTTCCATACATAATTTCTCTAGTGCACTTAAATCCATTCTTGTAATAAATGTATCATTCTTTTTGTTTTACTTTGAGCCTCCCTCTCTGGGGCTCAACCAGTCCTCCTGCCTGAGCCTGAGTGGCCAGGAATACAGGTGTACACCACTACTCCACGCCTTCTTACATTACTTCTAAGTGTTTTTAAAAAGTCATTAAATAGTTAAGAAGTAAAATACATCACCAGGCTGTGCTTTATAATGGGTTTAGAAATCTAACTCTTTTTGTTTGTTTGCTTTTTGGAGACAGGATTTCTCTGTATAGCTCTAGCTGTACCAGAACTCAGAGCTCTACCTGCCTCTGCCTCCCCAGTGTTGGGATTAAAAGGCAAGCATCACCATCGCCCAGCCACGGTACTTCTTTTTAACTTTATTGCCAATAGCAAATTACCTTCTGGTTCTTAGCTTTCTCAGATTCTGGGGAGACTGCTCCAGAACCTCACCCAGTAACAACAATTCCAAGTTCCATTTCTCACTGAGGATGTTTTAGATTTGTAGTGTACTTTTTAAAAAAATATATTTATTATGTATAGTGTCCTGCCTGCATATATCCCTGCAGGCCAGAAGAGGGCACCAGTCTCACTATAGATGGTTGTGAGCCTCATGTAGTTGCTGGGAATTGAACTCTGGACCTCTGGAACCATCTCTCCAGTCCCTAAATAATAAATTCTTTATTCTTTCTTTGGGCTTCAGTGAATTTGTTTACTTAAAGACTCCACTGTTCTATGTTTCTTTTCCAGTTCCCCTGCTCCTCGCTTTCTCCTGTGTGTAAGCGCTCAGTCACAGCCTAGAGATGCAGCCCCAGGCCTGGCTCATGCGAAGCTAGTGCTGTGTGTGCTATTGAGCTGTCTACATCCAGGATCATGAAATGTCAGTTTTAGTGTGTTCACTCCGAGGTTAAGAGATAGATGGCTACATTTTTTTTTTTTTTTTAAATTCTTCTAGGGAGTTCTACTTGCTGTTAATAAACTTTTCCACTGTTCGCTTCTTTGTGTGTGGCTTTCAGTGAGCTCTGTCTGGAGACACCATACCGTGGTGTGGAGGGTGGCTGTCTCAGCTGAAATGGGGGAATTATGCTCTTGTTTAGGATAATGGCTTTTTTTTTTTTCCTCCTAGGAAATTGAAATTATTATTTTTGCAGTACTGAAGATTGAACTAAGATGTCAAATTTGCTAGGCATACACACCACCACTGAGCTATACCCCCAGGCTAGAAACTAATTTCCAAGGCTAAGAGACTAGTTAATCGTGCTTCATTTTGTTCAAGTTTTGTGTTCTGTTTGTTTTTGAGACATGTTCTCATTCTGTAGCCTAAGCTGACTGCAAAATCATGGCAGCCTTCCTACTTTAGCCTTCAGGTGCTAGGATTATAGATGTGAGCTACCATAGCCGGTTTATATTTGTTTCTAATTGAAGACTTAAAACATAAAAGTCATATTTACTGATGGTGTGTCTTCTAATCTTTTGATGCGTACATATATTTCCTAATTCCAAACCTGCAAAAATATTTCTTTTAACATTTATTATTTCTCTATGATGAAAACTTTCAAATTTCTAGCTTTTAGAAATGTATAACACACTGGGCTGTGGTGGCATAAGCCTTTAATCCCAGCACTGGGGAGGCAGAGACAGGAGAGTCTCTGGAAGTTTGAGGTCAGCCTGGTCTACAGAGGGAGTTCCAGGACAGCCAGAGCTATACAGAGAAACCCTGTCTTGAAGTGTGTGTGTGTGTGTGTGTGTGTGTGTGTCTGTGTGTGTGTGTGTCTGTGTGTGTAACACATTGTTATTAGCTGTAGTTGGCCTACTGTGTAATTAAATCCTTGGCTTTCCTAAAATGATTTAAAATGTTAATTCTTTCTTTGTCTTATTTAGGACATGATATTAATTTTCGTGACAAGAAAATCCTGTTGCTGGAAGCAGGTCCAAAGAAAGTGCTGGAGAACTTGTCAGACACTTACAGCAACAGAGTCAGCTCCATTTCCCCTGGTTCTGCAACCCTTCTCAGTAGTGAGTAGACGAGCCCATGTGCTGAGCCTGCCTCCTTCCTTCTCGGCCTCCCCATAGGGCATAGAGCTGTCCCATAGGGTAGTCACCACAGCCCGTGTGTGATTCAAGCGCACAGTGGGGAGTGAGCAGGTGGGCTGGCTGCGGTCTTAGCTGAGGATAAGGACTGCTGTCAAGTCTTGGTCTGGAGAGGACATCTAGAGACATGTGCTTCCATCAAGTCACCTCACTCATGATGTAGGCCATTATTATTTGCTCTACAGATTTTTCTTTTTCTTTTTTCAGTTTCTCAAGACAGGATTTCTCTGTGTAACTGCCTTAGTTGTCCCAGAACTCACTCTCTAGACCGGGCTGACCTGAAACTCCCAAGAGCTAGAATTAAAAGCGTGCGCCACCACGCCTGGTCCTACAGTTTTGTATTTATGACGTTCTACCTGACATTTTATTATTTTCATGTTCATGTTGTCTGTTTCTCCAGCTAAAATATCAGCTGCACAGGGAATTTGTTTGGTCTGCTCTGGACCTAAAAGTATAGCTGGCCCTTGATGGATGCTCAGTAAATGTTTCTTCAAAGCACAAATCTCCTCAGTGCTATGAAGAGTTGAAAAAAATAGTCTTTAGAGCATTTATACCTAATAAGCTAGCAAGGCAAAAGGATGGGATTGGTTTAGTTTTTCTTCTTGACTTTGTTCTGCTGTGATCTGGCCTGTTGATTCTTCACAGCTGGGTAATCTGGGACTGAGAGCAGAAGGGCTTGACCCTTGACAGCGCGCAGCTTTTCCCTTCTGTTTTTGGAGAACATTGGAAACAACCTCCTACTTCACAGGATGAGAGCGGGAAGGGGCCCTGGAGCGCAGGTCCATGTGAGGTCACTGTCTCTTTTGTAGGTTTTGGTGCATGGGACCACATCTGTAACATGCGGTGCAAAGCCTTCCGGCGGATGCAGGTGCCTCCTTTCACTTAACCTTATCAGGATGACTGGGTCTGTCTCATGTTACCTTGTTAGATATGCTTTCTCTGAATCAAAATTTAATTCAGTGTGTGGGGGCATTCTTGAGAATCTGCTTAGTTTTTAATTAATTAATTTGGTCTTTTGAGGTAAGGGCTCAGGTAGCCTAGGCTTGAACTTGTGGCTGAGGCTTGCCTGATCAGTCCCCTATGTCCACTTCCCAAGCGTTGGGCTCACAGCTGTGCCCACCGTTCCTGACTCTGAATCTTCTCAGCTTATACCCTGCCAAAGAGGCTGCCAGCCTGGGAAGGGCTGCCTCCTTCCCGCACTGGGAAGCCATGTTCAGCCTTGGTTTGAAATTCCGTTTCATTTCTTTAGGGTTAATGCACTTTCTCATGTGTTTGCAGGTGTGGGATTCCTGCTCAGAGGCCTTGATCATGTTCGATAAGGACAACTTAGATGACATGGGCTTCATAGTGGAAAATGACGTCATCATGCATGCCCTCACCAAGCAGCTAGAGGCAGTGGCAGGTGAGCTGCTATCCTTATTCCTCTCTGGGAGTGATTGCCTCTGCATTTGCCCTTTATAGACCCTTAGAAAAGACCCTTTCATAAACACTAAATAGCCAGGTGTGTGACACCTTTAATGCCAGCACTGGGGCGGCAGAGGCAGACAGATCTCTGTGAATCTGAAGCCAGTCAGGACTGCATAGTGAGTTCAGGCCAACCAGGGAAACATAGTGAGGTCTTGTACCAAAAAGAGAAAAAGGAAAAATGATAAAATCCTTTTAGGATTTACCTTTCTTTTTTTTTTTTTTTTTTTTTTTACCAGCTTTATTAAAAATAAAACAAAACAAACAAACAAAAACTTATATACCATAAAATCCTCCCATTTTACTTGTGTAACTCAGTGACTTTCAATGTTTTTGTAGAGTTGTGCAACTATTGCCACAGCATCCTTGGACTGTTTCCATCACTCAGAAGGAGCCCTCACACCTACTTGTTGTCATCCTCATCCTTGCCTGAGCCCGTGCTTGCATCTTTCTAGCGCTGTCTGTTCTCAGCAGCTCAGATGGGTGAATCCCACGGCTGGATTAGTGGATTGGTCCTACCTCTCTCAGGGTGTTTTTGAGATTCAGTCACATTGCAGCATGAACTCCTAACACACTTCTTTTTATTGCTGAATAATGTTCCATTGTGTAGATATATCCGATTGGATCTATTTATGCACCAGCTAATAGAATTTGAGTTGTTTCCACTTGGCAGTTGGCGAATAGTGTTGTGGCCATCTTGTGTGATGGATGGTTTGTTGTTTTGTGTTTCCTCCAGTACTCAGGATTGAATGCAGACTTGAAAGCTAGGTAATCTCTCTACCCTTCTGCTGTTTCCCCCAGCTCTCTGTGTACTAAGTTGTTCAGGCTGGAGTTAACTCTGTATTCCAGGCAGGTTCTACCTTCTAAGTGCTTGTCTCAGCCTCACAAACAGCTTGCTCCAGCAGGCCCAGCAACATGTGTTTTCATTTGTCCTGGTTGGACATGTGGAGGCAGAGTTGCACTGTTGTATAATAATTCTGTATCTAACATCCTCAGGATGCTGCCCTCTAGAGGCTGAGTCTTTTCACCTTTCCCTGAGTTGAAGCAGCTCAGTTTCTCCACAGCCTTCTCAGTGCTTACTGTCTTTTACACTGCGGCTATCCCAGTATGGCCCATTGTGCTTCTGACTCTGTTCACCTAAAGAGAAATGATGTTGGTGCCTTTTCATGTGCTTATTTGTATATCTGCTTTGGAGCAATAGCTATTGAAAATCTTCTGCACGTCTAAAAATGGGTCACTTATGTTTTTGCTTTTTAGTTAGAAGGGTTCTTTGCATATTCTGGATATAAACTACCTGGAGATGGATGAATTGCTCTGTGTATCTTGGAATTCAAGTGAGAGACAAACTGGAAGAAATTTACGCTTTTTTTTTTTTTTTTTTTTTTTCCCTTTCAGTCTTTTAAGACAGGATCTCATGTAGCCCAGGCTGACTTTGAACTCACTGTGCTCAGGCTAGCCTTTAACTCTTAGTTTCCCTGCCACCACTTCCCAGATGCTAGAATTAGAGGCATGTGCTACCATGGCCAGCTTAACAGGTTTTTTTATATAGGATATTGTTCATTCATTCATGTAATGGGCCACCATCTAGCTTTTAAAAATAATTTAGGATTGGGCAGTGGTGATGATAATGGGCAACTTTAATCCCAGCACTTAAGAAGCAGAAGCAGGTATATGTCTGTGATTTCGAGGCCAGCCCAGTCTACAGAGTGAGTTCCAGGACTAGACAGAGACAGAGAAACCCTGTCTTTAAAAAAAAAAAAAAAAAAATAGAACTGCTGGTATGTTTTGTTCATAGATCAGTTGTCTACTGTTTAAGGCCTTGAGTTCCATCACCAGAATCACTGTATGTGTGTTTTAAATTCCTTGAGGTATGACTGATGTATAAAAAACTAGCTATTTAATGAATAGAACTTGATGTATTTAGAGAAGGAATTCTAGGGCTAGAGAGCTGACTCAGTGATTCCTTGTTGCTTTTCCAGAAGACCCAAGTTTGGTTCTTTTTTTTTTTTCCTCTTCCATTTTTGTTGTTTTTATTTATGTGCACTGGTGTTTTACCTACTGGACTTACAGACAGTTATGAGCCTCCAAGTGGGCAATGGGAATTGAACCTGGGTCCTCTGGAAGAACAGTCGGTGCTTTTAACTTCTGAGCCTCCAGCTCCCCCCCCCCCAACTCCCACTCCAAGTTTGGTTCTTAGCACTAATGTTGAGTGGCTCAAAAATCTGCTGTGGGATATATTTAACGCTTCATAGGGGGAAAAATGTTTTTGATGGGGTGACTGTAAATGTTATGGGGGTACTATGCTGTTATATTTAATAATACGTACATTGTGTTATGTTCACATTTGAGTAAACATTTGTTTTTTTCAAATAATTTCTCATATCTTTGTGACATTCAGAGTCTTATTTATTGCTAGTTGGTGGTAGCACACGCCTTTGATCCCAGCACTTCAGAGGTAGGGGCAGGCAGATCTCTGGTCTACAGAGCTGAGTTCCAGGACAGCTAGAGCTGCTACACAGAGCAACTCTGTCTCAAAAAATAAACAAATAAACAGAACAGCATCTTATTCATAGCCTGGGCTGTGGCTCAATAGTAGAGCTTTTGCCTGGCACAAACATGCCCCTGGGTTGGATTCCAGTACTACAAAACCTCTTTCTTAATGTGTGTGTGTGTGTGTGTGTGTGTGTGTGTGTTACTTGGGATTAGACCTGGGTTTTACAGCATGCTAGGCAAGTGCTTGATTCCAGTACTACAAAACCTCTTTCTTAATGTGTGTGTGTGTGTGTGTGTGTGACTTGGGATTAGACCTGGGTTTTACAGCATGCTAGGCAAGTGCTTTCCCACTGACCTACATCAGTGTCATCTGTAGCTATTGTCCCTTGTGATTGTGCACCAGAATTTATTTCTCCCATCTAACTATAACTTAGCATCCAAGAAGAAAATCTTTTGAGGTATGACATATTTCAGCCTGTGTGTTCAGAGTAAAACTAGGAGAAGAACCTTAGGCTAACATTTTCTCTGTCTCTCTGCCTCTGGCTGTCTCTGTCTCTCTCCTGTGGTGGGGTATTGACTCAGGATTTCACTGTGTATCTCTGGCTGTCCTAGAACTCCCTCCCTGTGTAGACCAGGCTGGCCTCAAACTCATAGAGAGGTACCTGCCTCTGCCTCTGCTAGGAGTAAAGGCGTGCTCCACTATGCCTGGCTAGTGCTTGCTCTTTTTAACCTTCTGACATTGAGTGGTTCCCTGGCTTCTGCTCTTTACCAGCAGGCCCTGGGCCACAGTGCTAATCATTTGAGTTAATTTTAGATCTTGCTTTTTTTGCTTGTCAGTGACAGGACAGGGCTATCTGGGGACCTTGTTTTTAGACTACTTCCAGTTTGTGCTCAGTCCTTTACCCACCTTTCTGATGTTTTGCCTCTTTCTCTTTTGACTTCTCCAGACCGTGTGAAGGTTCTCTACAAGAGCAAAGCTGTTGGCTATGCCTGGCCTGGCCCATTTTCCATGGCAGACTCCAGCCCTTGGGTCCATATTACCCTAGGTGATGGCAGCACCCTCCAGACCAAACTGTTGGTAGTTGAAGATTCTTCCTTTGTCAGGGGTCTTGCATGTCCACACCTTAGATTCTATAGTCTGTATTTTCAGATGGAAACCATGGGTTGACTTTAGGGTATTGTTTATAGAACACCCAGCACCTATTCAAGGCAGCCCAAGCTAAGATGGTCTTACACCTCCTGCATGGGAAGCAACCTCATGAGCCAGCTGAGTAGGATAGCCAGGACAGGATGGAACAGGAGTGTTGGGAACTCAGGCCATGTTTTTTTTTTTTCTGTCCCCGAAGTCCCAGTGCCATTCATCATCTCCTTGTGGCTCTCATTTTCTTGTTTCTCTGTTTCTGCTCACCAACTTTTTCTGTTAAACTTCAGTGCCCACTCTGTGCCGAACTTTTCTAGTTCATGTATCGAGAGACTCTGTTTCTGGCACCTCTTGGTTCAGATAGCCACTTTGGTCCTATTAGCTCAGGCGGAGGTACTGTTCTTTAGGGTTATCCCTGTAGGGCTGTGAGTGGGACAGGCCTGGTAGTTTCTACTCCAGCGGGAACTAGACAGAGGGGCAAAGAAACTGGAGCAGTTTGGTTTGAAGCAGTTGTAAGACTTAGCAGGCCCTTGTGTCCATGCAGATTGGTGCTGATGGGCACAACTCGGGAGTAAGGCAAGCTGCTGGGATTCAGAATGTCAGTTGGCCCTATGACCAGTCTGCTGTGGTGGCCACTCTGCATTTATCAGAGGTAAGCTCTGGAGCTGCTCTCTGGGGACCTTGTCCTGAGCACCCAGTACCCCTTACAAGAGCTTTCCTTTTATTGTAGGCCACAGAAAACAATGTAGCCTGGCAGAGATTCCTCCCCTCTGGGCCCATTGCTCTGCTCCCGGTAAGAGATCCTCTGGCCAGTGAGCTCAAAGGTAGCTAGCCATAGCCTTTGACTCCACTTTCCTTCAGCCTGGTGTAAAGGGGCTGGTTCCAGGCAGGCATTGCTTCTGTTCCTCGGTTTCCTTTATGCTTGGAAATGTCCGAGTTCAGAAGAGGCGGGTTTTTATTGCTGCTGCTGTTTTTATTTTAGAACTATCCCCCAGGCTGGTCTGACATTCGTCCTGCTATGTGCTGTGATTACAGGCATGCGCCACCACACCAGGCTGATGCTCTTCTTTTCATACAGCTCTCAGATACTTTGAGTTCCTTGGTTTGGTCCACATCACACGACCATGCAGCAGAGCTGGTCAGCATGGATGAGGAAGAGTTTGTGGATGCCATCAACTCTGCCTTTGTGAGTACCACCTGTCCGATCCTGGAGAGATGAGGAAAAAGGAGTAATCATGCAGCTCCCCTTAGCGAGTACAGTCCTTGACTTAGATTCTGGGAGGGCATATAGGGAACATAAAACAATGGAAACTGTGGGCTGTTATGCTGGTAGGAAGGCCTGCCAGGTATGTGGGCCATGTAGATATCCTATGCAGCTTAGCCCCTTGGAATAGTGCCTTCTATGTAGTAGGTTCTGGAGACAGACTTGAGACAGGCCCTGCCTTCAGGAAGTACACAGTCAAGTGAGAGATAATGACAAGTACAGTAACAGATGCATGTATGCATAGGATGACATGGAACAGAGAGGAAGGTGTAGAGGTGTTCATTAGGTAGTGGAGGGTGTTCTATGCTTTACCTAAGCTTAGAGGCAGAAGGATAGATAGCATAGGGTAAGCTTTACTATAGCTACTTTGTGGCTGTTGCTGGGGACTAGTGAAAGGTAAAGTTTGATTGTAGTCAGGAGCCAACCTAGAAATACTTTGGCATGATGCTAAATAAAATTTGTGGGGAATGCTGGGAAGTGGATTTTGCATGTGTTTTAAGGGGTTTGTCACTCATGAACAAGATCAGTTTAGGCTTGTTAGGTAGCATGACCCATAGCTTTGGTTATAAAAGGGGGTTGAGTTTTCAATTATTTACTAATCACTAATCAATTTTCACCATTTGGGGGCTGATTGGCACGTAGTGGAGTGATGCTCACCACACAGACTTTGTCGACTCGGCCAGCACCATGATGCACTATGTTGTCTCCCTTCTGAAGCCCACTAAGTTCTCAGCTCGTCAGCTGCCTCCAAGTATAGCCAAGGTGGACGCTAAAAGCAGAGCACTCTTCCCTCTGGGGCTGGGACATGCCGCTGAATATGTCCGGCCTCGGGTGGCACTCATTGGGTAAGAGCATAATGGAGCAGGCCACTCCTTTCTGTGTTGCTGGAGGCCACACCTGAATGCTGCTTTATTCTTAGTGATGCAGCCCACAGAGTCCATCCACTTGCAGGACAAGGTGTCAACATGGGCTTCGGGGATATTTCCAACTTGGTTCGTCATCTCAGTTCAGCCGCTTTCAATGGGATGGACTTAGGTAAGGTCAGGTACCCTGACATCATGTAAAGGTCAGGGCTGCCAAACTGAGCTAGGGAACAAGATGTCGTAGTGTCTACTGGGGGAGGAGATCTGTTACTGCTGGAGTAGCGGTTTGACTTTTCCTCCTGCTTTTTAACTCCAGGTTCCATGAGCCACCTCACAGGCTATGAAACGGATAGACAGCGTCATAATACTGCTCTTCTGGCTGCTACTGACCTATTGAAAAGGCTCTATTCAACCAGTGCCACTCCACTGGTGCTGCTCAGGACATGGGGCTTGCAGGCCACTAATGCAGTGTCGCCTCTAAAAGTAAGTGGCCACTTAACAGATCTCCAAGATTTTTCCTTACTGTGGAAGAACTGCAGAAATTTTAAATTTCTTTGGATTAATTTTTTTTGTGTGTAACATTATTTTTATTGCAGTTTCTTTTGAGATAGGGTCTTATGTATGTAGGCCTGGCTAGCCCTGAACTGGCTAGATCTGAATGTTTGATCTCATTGTGATCATTTGCTTCTGCCTGCTGTGTGCTGGGATTAAAGGCATGTGCTGTCATGCCTGGCCACTGTACTCGGTCTTCCTACCCAGCTGGTTATGAATAAAATTCCCTGCTGGGTTTGTTAGTGTCCACATCTAAGGAGTAACTTGAAATGTGTAGGAAGGGCTTAAGAATACAGGGCTGTGGTTAAAAGCCCTGACTGCTCTTTCAGCACTCATATGGTGGCTCACAACCATCTGTATCTCCAGTCCTAGAGGACCCAATGCCTTCTTCTAGCCCAAGTGTACTAGGTATGCATGAGGTGCATAGATGTACAAGTGGGCAAAACACCCATACAAATTTACATAGATTAAAAATTACAGGACAGGAGAGGTGGCCCAGCAGAGCGTGCTTGCTGCTCTTGCCGAGCTCAGTCCCGTCCCCAGCACCCATGCTGGATGACTAACAACAGTCACCTGTATTCATGTGTGCGCATGCCACAGCAATCACATGGAAACAGAAGACAACTTTCAGGAGTTAATCTGCCCTTCCACAGAGGGTTACAATCATTGAACTGGAGTTGTTGGGCTTGTGTGGCAAGTGCTTTTACCTGCTGAGGCTTTGCCAGCCCTGTTCTTCTAGCTGAAAGGAAACAGGGCCTCCTTCCTGGATGGGGCTCCTGCCATGTTTCTCCCTTAGTCACCACAGATATTCCATTATGAAGACACCTGTCCTCTCCTCTGCAGTGACCAAGTATCACTCACTCCCTTTCCTTTTTCTCCAGGAACAGATAATGGCCTTTGCCAGCAAATGAGTGCTCCTCTTGTAGAGATCATGTTGATGACAACATCTAGCCCTGTGTCCATCTATGTGTTCCCAAGATTGTTTAATAAATTTATACTAGAATTTGTGTCTAGTCCCTTCTTCTGCTTAATGGGCCTGTGCAACCAGAACATTGAGTGACAGATAAGGAAAAACCCAAAGGAAAACAATTTGATTGAAAGGAGCTTTTTATTACTAAGTTAACAAATTACTGAGATGTCCTCTCCCTCATTTTCACTTGGTAACAATCCTTTATAAACAGAATACTTTAATGCTGGTCACAAATTTATACAATTATCTTGACAGAGTAAGAATTAGAAATACTTGGTACATTTTTGTTAGAGTGTTGTTTTAAAATTAACACCGGCATGCTAATTACATACAAATTGCCTTGACAAAGTACACTGCACTTTAAGGGGGAAGCAAGACAAGTAACAGCCAGATCTTACTAATGCTGTAGACCTTATCACAGTACCACAGTTCAGTTGTTTACAGCATCCTCTGTTCGTTCTGTTATTAAAACAATAGACAACCTCAGTGCACTTGCAGCTGCCGAGGCCTCAGGAGCAACCATCTATGGACAGTGCAGGTGGCTAACGGGGCGGTTTATAACTTGGAGTTTTGAAACACTTACTGCACAGCACCAGACAGGCCTCCAGAAGAGCACTTTATCTGTGTTAGATAAGAATGTCTTGCCCGGAAATGTTTTGAAAAGAAGAAATAAGAAAGTCTCCTTTTCAATCAAGCTAAACTGTTTTGGAATAGCTTTTGAAGGGATAAGACAGCTGTTGCAACAGGACAGCTTTTTAAACAATGTGGAAAACAATACAGAGTAATGTGATGTCAGTAAACCCAGAAACTGTCCCCAGAATAAAAGATGGAAGCTTCTGGGGAAAACTGCCAGAGACTATCAGGACAAGGTCACCTTCTGCAAAAAGGAAGCCCTGATAAGAATACTGACTCCAGTATGTGGGGGACAAAGTACAGGGTGAGAGCTGTAAGGCACACTTTGTAAGAACGTCTTTGACTCAGATGTTCTTCATATAAGAGTGACAACACACACAACATCCACCATGCACCAGACCACATCCCTAATAGTGAGGATGACACAGCATCCACCATGCACCAGACCACATCCCAGGTATTTAAAGTATATTTACATTTTCACAGAGATGGGACTTGCCAGCAACATCAAAACACATAGGACCCTCTTAGTAAAAAAGGCCCATATTGCCGGGTGGTGGTGGCACACGTCTTTAATCCAGCACTCAAGGGGCAGGGGCAGGTGAATCTCTGTGAGTTCCAGGCCAGCCTGGTCTACAGAGTGAGTTCCAGAACAGCCAGGGCTACACAGAGAAACTGTTTCAAACAATAACAAAAAAGGCCCATATATTTTTTTTTCCTAAAAAAATTAAGACCCCAAATTGTATTAAAAAGAACAAACTGGTAATCTCCAGATACTGATCAAGATTAGCAGGATGTATGCAGATAAATTTCTGAGGTAAGAGTCCATCTATTTAAGAGTTCTGGCAGTATCTAAGGTAACCAACCAAAGATGTCTATGGGATAGTATGCACTTTACAGATACAGTGCCTGTGTCTGAGGCTTCAGATGTCCCCTGTGGTAGAAAGACCTTGAACTCACTTGTCAGCTGGAGCTGTCTGCTTTGTTATTTAGTGCTGGGGATTGAATCTAGGACCAGACATGCTTTACCACTGAAAAAAAAATTTTTTTTTGATCTTTTAAAAAAAATCTGTGTATACAGTATTTTGCCTACACACCTGTAGAGGGCACCAGATTCCATTACAGAAGGTTGTGAGCCACCATGTGGTTGCTGGGAATTGAACTTAGGGCCTTTGGGAGAGCAGTCAATGCTCTTAATCTCTGAGCCATGTCTCCAGTCCCACTGAAATCTCTCCCTTTTAAAACTTGGAGTGTCTTACTGAGTTGCCCAGTGACCTCAAACTGGCTATTTATCAAGTCTGGTTGTAACCCTCCTGCGTCAGCTCCAAGTTAGCTATGATTATAGGCCTGTGCTGTAAGGCCTGTTGTAGAGCTTACTCTTGGGGAAGCAGCTCTGTTTCTCTCAACTGCAATAGTATTTAGTGGACTATGACTGGTCTAATAATTTTTTAATAGACTTGGTAAACAGACTAGAAAGTATGCCATATGCCTCATGTTTTTTGTTTTTTAAGCAATAAAAATTTAGTCATCTTCAAAGAGTCTAAAAGGTTTTGGAATAGGAGACAGGACTAAAGGAAAAGAGGTAGCTCTCAGCTAATGAAGCTATAAAAACCAGAGACATCCTAAGTGGAAAGGAGCTGCCTGCAAACACTTAACAAGCTGGATGGAGAAATCTGCTAGATACACTGTATGCACATAGGAAAGTGGGCTGTTTCTGATGTAGAAAATCTGTTTCATTATGTGTGAGCATTGTGGGTTTCTGTTTATTTGTTTTTGAGACAGAGTTTCTCTGTGTAACAGCTCTGGCTGTCATGGAACTCACTCTGTAGATCAGATTGACCTTCAACTCAAGAGATCCCCCTGCCTCTGCCTCCCAGGTGCTGGGATTCAAGGCGTTTGTGCCTGGGACCACTGTTTTGAAGGAGACAACAAATAAAGGTGAACTTAGTAATACAAGTTTGAACGAGGCTCAGCAAGTCTAAGGAGTCTCAGGAGTCTAAGGTGAAAGATCACTTGTGTCCAAGAAGCTCAAGGCTAACGTAAGCAACAGTAAAACTGGTCTCAAATAATATTCTCAGTGACTGAAATCTGAAGAAATTCCACATTTAATCAAAACAAGACAAAATTCCTAAAATTGCGGGGCGGCGGGGTACACATTTACCTACTTTTTTTACACAGCAGTCAGTAATACTCATTGACTCAATGCAATGGCTTCAAAGAGAAGCTTCCCCGGGGCCTGCCATAGGGCCAGGCATATTCAGCTCCTTTGTGAGGAGTGGAGGAAGGGGGATCACTAGTGGGGAGAGAGGAAAGCTTCCCTGGAAAGAGAGGAGGAGGGGGTAAAGTGCTAGGACAGAGGAGCTGAGCAGCAGAAAGGGTTCAAACCCAGAACCCAGCAGAGGTGAGCCACTGGCGGTCACATGAGAAACAACATGATGACTTTTGGTTTGTTTTTTGTTTTTGTTTTTTCAAGGTAGGGTTTCTCTGTGCAGCCCTGACTGTCCTGGAACTGGCTCTGTAGACCATGCTGGCCTTGAACTCAGAGATCCCCCTGCCTCTGCCTCTAAGTGCTAGAATTAGAGCTGTGCACCACCACCGCCTGGCAAAAAATTTTAAGAAAGTGACTTTATAATGTAGTAGAGCACGCATGCCTGGCATGCATGACAACCTGTGTTCAACCTCAACACAACCAGTGGCCTGTGAGAAAAAACATGGTCCTCTAGAAATGTTAATCCTTCTTCTGACATGGGCCAAAATAGCCAATGAAATCAAATGTTGGGTCTCACTGGAGAGGGGATATGAGATCCTGAGCTAGACAATAAATTCAGAAAATAGTAGTCAGCAAGGGCTCAGGCAGGAAAGCGCTACTATAAAAGCATAGTGGCGGCACATTGTGCCTAACATGCAAGAAGTCCTGAGTTCAATCCCCAGCACTTTCCACACCCCGACCCCCAAAGGACAAACTGACTGCGCTGGTAATCTTTAGACTCAAATAGCACACACACTAACTTCTAAGCACAGACCAAAACTAGGGTGCAGCTGTATTTCACAGAAATACAAAGACCCTAGTTTGGGCACCCTGGCCTGGGTGCTGACACCTGGGTATGCACACATCTCCAAGGCTCCCTGTTCACTAGCCCCAGAGTGCACGCTCTGCAGCAGCTGTCCCTTCAACCGACCCGGTGACTCTCTTTCTTACAGCTCTGATGTAGGCACAGTTAAAGAGGTACTCTCTCCATCTTTTAAGATTTAACATGAGATGAGGATGATGGCTCACATCTGTAACCCCAAGACTCAGGAGGCCGAGGCAGGAGAGTTGACAATTCAGGGTAATCTGGGTTACACAGTAAGTACCAGGCTACCTGTATGACATAACATGACCCCTATCTAAAAATAAAATCCCCAGGAAAACTCTTAAGCTCTAAATTGGTTGATCTACTGTGCCATAGGATCACACAGATTCTTATAAGTATCTTTCCCAGGTATTTCCCACCTTGGGTTTTAGGGTAGGGATATAATAAGGGTAGGAGGAAAAAAAAAATACCAGTATTGATAGGTTATGGGACTTCAGTAAGTCAGCTCAATTTAGCTTATAAGCAAAAAAAAAAAAAAGCCCTGAAACATTCAAAGGAATGAGGCACTCCAAGGGTTGAAATGAGATTTTTCTTTGGTTCCCAGGGACCCATCTCTGAACTTTCAATCTAACATGGAGTTTGAAACTTACTCCTTTTTTTTCACAAGACTCTGTGACATACAAAGAATCTCAAAAGATTTGCACTCTGGCACCGGCTGTGCACCTGCCAAGTGGTTAGGGAGCTGTTCACATTAGATGTGCAAAATTAATTAAGCCCAAATCACTAGGCTCAAGAGGCAACACTCATCTATAAACCCTCCCTCCTAAGAAAGCCAGTCAATGGGTTTCAGTCCAGGCTTTCTCCAGAGTAGTTCAGAAAATGCCTGAGTCCTCTCCTTCCTGTAAAAAAAAAAGTTCTGAAACACAGGCTTCCGAGGATATGCTTAGCCTCAGCTGGAGATGCCCAGAGACTGCAGCAGGTGAAAGGTGGCCCCCAGAGCCCAGCCTGTCTCTATGTTGTTCACTTTCTTTGTGAGCTGTTAAAGAAGAAGAAAAAGTTTTTACATTTTCATCCCATTTTCGACATAAGCAAGCATGGCTTTTGTACAGCTAATACCTGTAAGGAGCACTTGGGGCCAAGTCCTAATTGTCCCCAAGCCCAGCATGCTCAGGCCTGAGTACTTTGGGCCCATGAAGCAGGACTGTCCAGACATTTCTAGAGAGATTTTGTTAGAAAGGGATTCTGGATTGCCTTAATCTGACAAGGCAATCGTAATGTAATGTTCATGGGTGTGGTGGGAAAGGGACCTGGCAAGAGCTGGAATGTATGTAGGGTAAGCACATTCTCAGCTTTCTGAGTCTGGTTGAACGACTATCCCTTAAGCATTAACAACAACTATGGAGGCATTCTGCACCACAAGGTCTTGACAGCTCAGTGTTTTCATTGCTTTGAACAAAACTTTAGAGCTGGTCCCTCAATTACAGAAAGGGGGTTAGAGTAGTGTTTATCAAATTGTTTCTGAAGACTCCTTCCTCCCCGTCCTCACTGATTTCAGCACGTGCAGGATCTGCTTCATCTGTTATAAACTATTTGTTGTAAAATAGATCTTTTTAAGACTATTTTTCAGCATTATTATTTTTTAAAATTATGTGTGGATGTGTCTGCCTGTGGGTATGTACCCATGAATGCAGGTGCCTGTGCAGGCCATAGGGGTTGGATCTCTTAGAGCCGGAGTTACAGGTAGTTGTGAGCCACCTGACTAGGTGCTAGGAATTAAACACTAGTTCCTTGGAAGAGCACTGTAGTAGTCTGAATGTAATTGGCCCCCATATGCTCATAGGGAGTGGCACTATTAGGAGGTGTGGCTTTGTCAGAGTAGCTATGGCCTTGTTAGAGGAAGTGTGTCACTGTGGAGGTGGGCTTTGAGGTCTCATATGCTCAAGCTACATCCAGTGCCTCAGACCACTTCCTGTTGTCTGTGCGTCAAGATGCCAGAGCTCTCAGCTCCTCCAGCACCATGTCTGCCTCCATGCTGCCTTGCTTCCCACTGTGACGATAATAGCCTAAATTTCTGAACTGTAAGTAAGCCACCCAATTAAATGTCTCTGGTTATGAGTTGCTGTGGTGTTGTCTTCTCACAGCAATAGAAATCCAAACTAAGACAAGCAGCAATATTCATATCTTCTGAAACAAGCAGCAAATTTCTTAACTTCTTTCCAGTTAAGAAGTATCAGTGTTTCTACTACAATTATGTATGTGTACCATGTATGTACCTAGTACCCACAGAGATCAGAAGGCAGTGTCAGATCCCCTGGAATTGTAGTTACAGGTGTTTGTGAGGCAACATGTGAGTCCTGGGAACCAAACCTGGGTCCTCTGCAAGAGCTGCAAGTGCTCTTAAACACTAAGCCATCTCTCCAGCCACTCTAGAATATATCTTATGAATTTCACACAATTTAGCTTCTTAACTTTCTATACCACTATTGAATACAAATTATATTTAAAAAATGGTTAAAATGTTATCTTCGTCCTCAAGCTGCATAGTCTATTAGAAAAGATTCAACTAGCTATCCAGCAGACTTAGGATATACAGGATATACTGCATGTGCTTGAGACACAGATGAACCAGTCACTCAGTGTTAACAACATTGTAGAAAATGAGACAAGGGGTAAGTAAGCCAATGTTACCCGGCAGGTGTATCTGCCTCATGGGCTCTCTTGTGCTCTCTTGATCAAATGTCAGCTTAAGTCTTACAACCACATGGCCAGTGGCAGGAGAGGGCATACAAAACCAAGATGAAGAACCTGGGATTTGGAAGCGTGGCCCTTCCAACTTGCTTGCACCGTATTCTGGATGTTTATTTCTCCCATCTGTTTCACAATGCTGCTTCTCACTGAGTTCTAAACTGACTTCATAAACAATGTGTCTTGAATATCTTCAGTGGGCTCCAAGTCCTTCTGTCTCGTGTCCTACAGGACACCATGCCTGGAACTGCTCTCAGGGACTATAACTGCATCCTAGTGCTTTATGTGCTTGTGGCTTCGGCCCCAACAAGAACATCTGCCACTGGGATTACTAAACAAGTTCTTTCCCAAAGCAACAAGACAGATGAAAGACTCCAGTGCTCATTCTTACCTGTAAGAGGGTGCCATCTGCAAAGCCAAAGCCATCTCTTAATAAAGCCGTGATGTAACTGAGATCCATGCATAAGAAGGGACTGCCTGAGGTGAAGCTGTCCAGGTTATCACACACTAAAAGTGAGAGAGCAGACAGCGTTCACGTTCACGACTAAGACATACAGGATCTTTTCTAGCTGTACATAGGGCTTGAATAAACAAAACTTGTCTCCATGTAGTTGGTGCCTGGGCTTCCTGGAGACTAGCCTGTTTACTGTACACTTCTGTGTACGAAGCAAGACCATAGCCTCTTTAGAATCTGCACATTCCTGGTGGGAAATCATCTATTCCCTGGGTGTGGTGGCAGTGTCACCCTTAATCCCAGCACTCGGGAGGCAAAGGCGGGCAGAGCTCTATGTTCAAGGCCAGCAGGGTCTACAGAGTGAATTCCAGGACAGTCTGTCTCAAAAAACCAAAAAAAAAAAAAAAAAAAAAAAAAAATCAACTATTCATATTTATATGCATCTTAGTTTATTCGCCAGTTATATGGGAGAGGCTCTGCTGGAAATCAAGCCCAGGGCCTCGACATACCAGGTAAGGTCTCAACACCCGAGTTATTCTATCAATACCCTGCTTTTCAAATTTCTAAGACATACTGTGGCCACTCAATACCAAGTCCCTAATTGAGGCCCAAAAAAACAGAGAAATATAATGTAACCCTCTCCTGTGGCTATTGGAAAAGACCCTTTGTATTTTAGATTTATTCTCTCAGGGATACCCCATGCATTCTGGTGTTCAGTTTTTTATTACTGATGATAACCCTGTTCCAGTTTAAAGAGAGAAAGAGAAGAGTGTGCCAGGCTGAGTGTATAAGTAAGCTCAGGCTCTAGAATGACTGCCTAGCATTCATGAGCCTGGATTCCATCCCTACTTAAACATAAATCAGTCACAGTGACTCATGCCTAAATCCTAGCACTTGACATGTGGATCAGAATTCAAGGTTACCCTCAGCTACACTGCAAATGTGAGGCCAGCCTGAGCTATATAAGACTTTGTCTCAAAACAAAACAAGAAAAACACAAACAGTTAATAGTATTGCAATAATAACAATAGGAAAAGTGTAGAAAGTGTCTTAGATCCCCATGACAGTGTCTAATGCATCTTCCAGCAGACTGGAAGGCTCAGAAGAGAGACATTCCCAAGAGGCCCTGTACTGACAGCCATACATGACAGCCCAACTTCAAGATTTCCTGACACTTACCTTCCCTGGCTTTTCTTTCAAAATCTTCAACTTTTAAAACACCCCCCTTTTCATAATCTAAAATGAAACAGAATGGCTACTGTCAAAAACTTAAAGGAAACAAGGACATCTATCCCAGTGATATATAGTAATAAAAACTAGAAATATCCAGAACTGATAACATAAAAAGCAGATAAACATGATATCTGTACAATATGACTCCACATTGCCTGTTTTATTTATGTATAATTAATGCATGTTACCCATTTTGTATTACATATTTAGCCATAGTAAAAAATGTAGGTTCATTTAAAAGTTTAGTAAATGGGGACAGGGGAGGTGCTGGAGAGATGGCTCAGGGGTTAAGAGCACTGACTGCTCTTGCCTAGGACACAGTTTGGATTCCAGAATCCACACCAGGTGGCTCATAAGCACCTGTAATTCTAGTCTCAGAGGATTCGATGCCCTGGGGTCTCTGCAGACACCTACACACATGGAACTTGAAAAATGGTACAGGCACACATACATAAATTAAAAAGTACAGTAAGCAGGGCAGCAAATCATCTCTCTCAGGTCATGACAGAACATGTGTGTACTCACACACCTTAACAAAAACACAACTTCTGTGATAAAAAATATTCCTAGAACAACAGGAAAGTGGGGGTGATGGCTATAATGTCTTGAACGTGGGGAGGTTCACAGATACATGCATGGCAAGGTTTAACTTACTGTATGTCATTTTGTATGGTTTGGATAGGAAATGTCTCCAACAGGTTCATGTGTTGAAGGCTTGGTCTCCGGACAGTGGAGTCCCCAATCATTGAGAGGTGACTGGACCATAGCTACAGATGTATTCATAACTTGACAGTGTAATTGGGAGATAATGGGAAGTTTTGGAGCAGGGCTTAGGTGTGGAAAGTGGGTTGAGGGCTCTACCTAGGTCCCAGCCTCTGCCTCTCCCTCCCTCATGGCTGCCGCGAGGTAAGCAAATTTGCTCCTCTACGTCCTTCCACTATTATTTTCGGCCTTATTGTGACAGAGACAAGGAAGTTGCTGACCATGGACTGAAACCTCTGAAAATGTGATCCAAAAGAAACCCTCACTCCTCTAATGTTTCTCTATATTTAGTCACAATTACAAAACAGCTAACTAACATACACTTTCGTAATAAAGGCAAAGCACAGCTACTCAAGAGGCTGAGGCAGGGGATCACAAGTTCAAAGCTCACATAGGGCATGTGGTCAGTCTCAAAGCCATCTTGGGCAACATAGATCTGCCTCAAAATGAAAAGTTAAAAAAAGGGGGCTTGAGATATAATTTAGTGGTAGACCCTAGCATGTGCAGAGGTTCTGGATTCAACCCCAGTAATGAAAAAAATATGCAAAAGACTTCAGATACAGAGTCAAGCATGGTGGCACATCTGTGTAACCCTAGTACTCAGAAGGCCGGGGCAGAAGGATGGCTGCTAATTTGAGGCCAACCTGGGCTACATAATAAAACCTAGCCTAGGATACGTAGCAAATCCCTGCCTCAAACAGACAGACTTGATGAACGTTAGGTCATTTTCCACTTCCCAAGACCCCCGAGTATATTTACCTTCCCGTTCTAGTGGCTAGTGTAACACTACTGGAAAAGCTGGTAAATCACTCCAGTCTACATAGCCTTTAATGCTCTTCCCCAGTATGGTCCCTCTCTTCCTTCGTGGCCTGACCCCAGGCAATGAACTCACCAATCAAGTGTGTATCGGCAGCTCGATCATAATAGTAGGAGAAGGCATAAAAGGAGCTTCCCCGAATCTCTTCTGGCTGGTGAAGTTTTCCTTGCACTACCCTCAGCACTTCTGCATAGCAGGGCTCGAAGCCCATCTCCCCTGTCAGGGCAAAAGTGTATGTCGTTTGAGAATGAGATGTGGCAAGAGTAACTTTCTGCAGCAGGCTGATGGAGCCAGCCTGCAACAACAGTAGTGGGGGCTGCATTGCTGTGGCTGAGGTTAGGCTTGAGCCCTTCCTTCACAGGAGGATAAGGAGCTCTTGCAACAGCTGGACAATCTGAAGGGGGAGCTGACCCAACTGCTAACGTGACAGATGTTGTAGGGTCCAAGTTATTCAAGACACAAGTTGTCCACAAATGCACTGACTGGACCCTCTTAATCATCACATTCAGAGAGGAAAGGGCAACAAGTAAAAGGCCCCGGCCTGCACTCCAGGAAGACTAGAGTCAGGTACCGCTGGCTCTCTAAGCCCGAGAAACTGAGGACAAGCAGCCACAGCAGAAACCGTTGTAACTGCTATGCAAGTATGCAGGAAGGGACTAGAATCCCAACAACAACACAATACCTGCGGGAGTGAAGACATGACTCAATGAAGAGCACTGGCTGCTCTGTTAAAATTTTATTATTTTGGCCAGGCATTGGTGGTGCACACTTTTAATCCCAGCACTCGGGAGGTACAAGCAAGTGGATCTCTGTGAGTTCAAAGCCAGCCTGGTCTACAGAGCAAGTTCCAGGGCAGGCTCCAAAGCAATATAGAGAAACCCTGTCTCGAAAAAAAAAATGTATTATTTTATATATGTAAGTGTTTGCCTGCATGTATATCTGTGCACCACAGATTATCTGGTGCCTTCAGAGTCCAGAAGAGGCATTGGATCCTCTGGAACTGGAGTTTCAGACAGTTGTGAGTCACCATGTGGGTACTGGGAATTGAACCCGGGTCCTCCAAAATTGCAGCCATTGCTCTTAACCTCTGAGCCATTGCTCCAGTCCTGGTTCCCAATCTTGTAGAGGACATGGGTTCAGATCCCAGCAACCATGTGAAAGCACATAACTATCTACCTCCAGTCCCAGGGGATCTGACTCCCTCTTCTGACCTCCATGGGTACTTGGCATGCACACATTACACATACAAACATGCAAGCAAAGTACACAGAATGCATACATACATATAAAAAATAATAAAGCTCGAAAACAACAAAAACATAAATTTACTGATGAAAACACAAAAGGTGGCTGAGTCTGATAGGTCTTAAAAATGATGTATTATTACTTTCTTCAACCTCACTGCTGGTACCCATGGCAGCTCCTGTCCTTGAACCTGTGTTCACCAAAAACAGCCACAGCCACCATGCTCCTGTTTGACATTATGTTTCATGGTCTTTGTTAGCAATTACTCAGAAAGCTTGTTTCCTTCTCTGGGCTAACAAAGTTTCCCCTAGACTTTAATGTCTGTGCCTTCTATAGCACCTAAAGTGAATGATTCTTAGCTCAAGTTTGAGTTCTACTGTAGTAGAGATTGTTACACATACACTGGACCCGGAACAGGGATTCACACCGCTGCACCAAACAAGTCACAACAGCTTCCTCCCTTCCTCTCTCCCTCCCTCCCGCCCGCCCTTCCTTCCTTTTTTTTCCTGAGACAGAGTTCCCTGTGGAACTTTGGAGCCTGTCCTGGAACTTGCTCTGCAGACCAGGCTGGCCTCAAACTCACAGAGACCTGTCTGCCTCTGCCTCTGCCTCCCAAGAGCTGGGATCAAAGGCATGCGCCACCAACGCCCGGCTGTTACAACAGGTTCCTAATACCACTTCAGGGCTCAGAACAGGAAGCAGAGTGGTTGCAACCTTGCTTGCTGGCCTCTGAACATACCAAGAGTAAGTGCTTTCAAAATGGTCTCTCCTGAGCGCTGGAACAGGTTCCTATTGGACCCTCCCAGAGCATGAAGGTAATTTTAACCAGGGAAGAAACACCATTCACCTTCTTGGTTGCCACCGTACTGGTATTTCACACCCCCAAAGATCCACTCGGCTTCCAGCCATCTAGGTAAACAGGCACTTCGAAAAGTATGTCCATCCGTCCCTGAAAGAACCACAGCACAAGAGGGCACGCGTGTGAGAGAGGGAAGGCAAAAGCAAGCTGCACTTGAGGCCAAAAGGCATCCCCAAGGGGACTGCTCCTTAGAATCCTATGAAATGAGTTCCTTGGCTGCATCCTGTAACATGGATTCTTCACAGGTTTGTGGTAGTGGTGAACCCTCTAAGGTCAGAGGCAAACTCTCATGCATATGCATATTTGGCAGAGGATTTATAACTTTTATCACATCCCAAAGAAATAAGAAAAAAAAAAAAAAACCCATAGTAAACTAAGACCCTTTCTTTAATGGAGGAAAATTCTTCCCCTGGTAGCTGAGAGGTTAAATGGAATAGAGTTAAAGACACTCAGAAACTCTGAAATGCTGTTTCCCTCATCCCAGCACTAGCTGACTGTGAGCAAGGCGCTGTCAGGAGTGCACTACACACAAAATCATGTCTAAGGGCACAGAAGGGTCAATGATTTATTCCCAATCACAAAACTGGGCCTGCAGCCAGTCTGCCTGTGTGCAGCTGTGAAGACAGAAAAGGAATGCTCAGTCATTCCACTTGGCAAACGGAGCAGACCTCGTTTCCTGACAAAGGCTTGTGCAAGTTCCTACCAAACACTGTCGGCTGAGGCTTCAGCCTACACCCACAGGCTCTCACAGCCACGGGCTCTTACTCCTATATAAGTAAGTAGTCCTCACTCGCAAGGCGACAAATACATACCACAGCACCAGCCATTTTTATGTCTGTTATGCAACATTTGCTCCTCAAATCAACATAACTCTTTGCTCCACGGAATGAGTGCCAAGGAAGGGAAGAGGCAGGCTGCATTTTGGCACTGCTCTCACTGTGTCCCACCACGAACTGGTACTCAGACAAACCTTCTGTTTCCAGGGCTCCCAGGGTTGCCAGTCTTGCAGCTTTCAATCCAAATCCCAGGTAACTGTAAATAAAGTACAGGGTTGACCGATGTCAGGCTGTCCTGTCCTGGATGTTTTCAGCCCACTGCTGCCTTTTTCAAATGTGGCACGGTTTCTCTGCCTCCCTTTGGAAAGATGGAAACTACCCTATCTGTGCCATATTATTCATGTGACCAACAGAAGAAGACTTCTGTAGTCTGGATCTAGGATATGCAGCAAAGTGTTCACAGGTGTGATGCCGAAGAATAGGATTGTTCCTGGTGGTCCAGCCTGAGAACCAGCCCCAGAAAAAGCTCTAATTATTTTAGCTCCTATCAATTCCATACTGGTCTTGAACACCTGAAGCCCAGATCACATGAGTTGGTATGGAGCCCTTCTGAGTTCTGAGCCTTCTCCACATGCTCCCATCTAAAGAAAACGTGACTCTGACATCACATACTTTCAGGCCAAAAATGGGAACGCTTCCTAAGTTTCTCAGATTTGGTGTACGGCTTAGGTTTGGTATAGAGCTTAGGGGACTGGAAGAGTCTTTTTCTGAGGCTGATAAGATACAGTAACAAATGCGAAGATGCTTTGAAAAGTTAGGAAAAGTAATGCAATGTGCACTATTATTCTTCCCCACCCCTCCTCACCTATGTGTGTAGAGCTTAAAAGTGCTGTTAAACATCTCAAAGGAAGTGAGGTAGCCCCTAGGCGTTTGTTCCAGGGTTTTCTGCAAATCAGAAAAAGCAAAAAGACTTTAGTATCTGCAAGTATATGAAGATTTACCACCATCCACAACCCTCTCCCCCAAAAGTCAGAGATGGGGAAGACTAAACTTCAAGTCTCCCAAGGCTTGAGAAACCAGAGACTTCCTCCAGTCACTAATTGACTACTTAGCCTGATCACTGTAGAGACGATGTCTCAAGACAGGGTGCCGCTTTCTTAGCGCCACAGTGCTTTCTAAGTGTGTTGCCAACATGGTCTTAATAACAATGGCTCACCGCAAACTGGGGTAGAAATGTGATCTGGGTGGAGGCACCCCCCAGGTCAAGGGTCCCCATAGTCTCCTGGCCATGGCCATGCAGTTGACCTGTTAATGAGAACAAGGTATGAGTACCCCAGGCCACCCACGTTCTCGCCTGCTCCTATTGTACACCAAAGGTGTTTTGTGACCGTTCACTGCTCTGGGCCCAGAGGCTGCAGGCTAACATAAACTCAGAAGGTCTCTTGCTAGAGGTGAGGCCCTGAAAGCAGACTATAAACTTAGCTTTCCCCCTAGTCTCTTCTTTTTTTTAAAAAAGAGGTTTTCCATTTTAATTATGTGTATGTGTGGGTATATACACATGAGTGTGGCTGTCCAGAGGCTAGAGGCCTAAAGCCACCCAAGGGCCTTTGGAAAGAACCATAAGTGCTTTTTACTGCTGGGTCATTTCTCCAACCCAGCCTTTTAAAGAAAGAACAGTATAGGAAGGCAGAAGTGGATTTTATCCTCCTGATAAAATCAATCAAACAAACAAAAAACAAAACAAAACAAAAACTATAAAAACCAGTTAAGGTTATAAGATGAACTTAAAGATCTATTTAATTTACCTGTTAGAAAGTTCACAGTAACCCAAGCGAGTATGCCTACAGGAGAGAAGAACAAAGCTTACATTCTAGACCATCTCCCCTCTACTCTCTTTCTCTCTAAATTTCAGGTTAGAGCATCGTCTCCCTGCCCTGTCCCTCCCTATTTACTTAGCTCCTCGTTCTCTCCTGCTGGAGCCTATTCCCAGTCCCTTTAACTGGAGCTTCCACTGACTCCACCCCGTCTCCCCAAAGTATTTATTTCACCCTCTGCCCACCTTCATAGGCCCCGTCCATGATGCTGACACTGTCATCCGGGACCAGGAAAGGTGACAGCTTCAAGATCTCCTCTACCTGGGGAAAAAGTACAAAAACCTGGTGTCTGTGAAGCAGGAAAACAGATGACCAACAACGACCGCATCGGCTGTGTTCTCTAGAAAACAGCTCTTGTTCTTTTCCCTAGATAACACCATAGCAGCACTTACTCCCTTTCCCTGTGAAGCCAGAGAAGGAACTAAGCAAGGAACTGTCATTTTCTTGCAAAAAACCACAAGCATGTGGATTCCTTAAGAAACCCATCTAAGTTTATTACCAATTAGAACTAGGGAAGAACATGTATTTGACCCTTCTAACTCAAGTAGAGAGCCTGTAATTTTGTAAGCACCCTGACTAACTACCTGGACATGCAGTGAACACTGGTGAACCTAAAAAGAGCTGAGGCAATCTACCTCTGCTGTACTTTGGGGCACAGCTAGGACTATAGAGCCTTAGGGAGACATCATACCTAGCCCTGTGGAGTCCTGTTTTGGGAGGTGTAAATGAAGACCTTACACAAACGCTTCGGACTCTCTATACATATAGGCCACTGATACATGTATTATGGCCCTAAAATGTTTTAAAATGACATTTATGGACTTTTTTGCATAATATGTGAGCGTGCAAATATGTGTGCATACATGTGGGCCTGTGCATGCCACAGCATATGTCTGGAGGGCAGAAGACAGCTTTCAAGGGTCAGTTTGATTCTTCCACCATGTGAGTCCTGAGGATAAAACTCAGGTTACCAAGCATGGTGTCAAGCATCCCTAAGAGTCATCTCACTGGCCTATATTATAGTTTATTTTTACATTACTACTATAGAGGGAGCATTCTCCTAATATAAATAAAAATGACTAGTTTGCTGATGGGATGAAATACACCAAGCAGTGGCCCTGTTTCAACCAGCAAAACCATCTAATTAAGTGACCTGTAGACAGGCTTTAAAGAAGATAAATAAGAAAACAGAATTAAGCAGGTGCTGCTCTAGTTTCCTCCACTCCCACCAGTTAGTATTCAGGCATCTGTACTGGCCTGCCCTAGGGGTTCTGACAGGATACGGCCTCAGCTGCAGCCACTAAGAGCACCACCTGTGCACATTCACTACGCTCTCTTTTAAAAGGGCCCTGCCCACCTCCCATCTCTTTCTCTCTCTCTCTGCCTGTCTTTGTGTCTGTATGTCTCTCTCTGCCTCTCTTTCTTCTCTTCTGCTGCTTCAGTCTCCAGAGGCTGGTCTCTCCTCTTCCCTCCCCTTTTCCCACTTACTTTCCCCCAATTAAGAAAACCCTCCACCCAAGCTCTGTTGCATGGTGTCTTTCTCTCACGTGCTGCTTTTTAAAATTATAACACCATCTTCTGCTGAGTTTATTCTCAACACAGCAGTCAACATGGTATTTGTTTATTTATATGTATTTGTGTGTGAGCACAACCTCAGGTGTCTCTTTCAGTCACTCCACCTTATTAAATGAGACAGTGTCTCATGAACCTGAGGTCAGCGAATGGCTACCCTAGAGACCCTCCTGTCTCTGTCTTCCCAGTGTGGGGTGAGAGGTACACACTGCATGTCTGCCTTATGTGGGTAAGAGGAACAGAACTAAGGTCCTCATGCTTGCGCTGTTTCCAGGATGGCATTTTAAACTGTAAAAAGATTATTTATTTCAAAATACTCTGATAGCTTCCTTTACAAAAAAAAAAAAAAAAAAAGCCAGGCTGGAGAGATGGCTCAGCAGCTAAAAGCACTGACTGCTCTTCCAGAGGACCTGGGTTCAATTCCCAGCAACCACATGGCAGTTCACAACTGTCTATAATGGGATCTAATGCCCTCTTCTGGCATGCAGGCATACATGCAGACAGAGCATGCTCGCACGTGCACGCATGCCTTACACACACACACACACACACACACACACACACACACACAGTTTTTAAAAAGAAAAAAGTCTATTTGCCTTTTAACACTGATGATTACTTCCTGTCACCCAGCTTCCTGGCTGCCTCCCTTCCTCTCACACCAGCCATAGGACTTTCTAGAAGCTGCTCCTGATCTCAGACTTTGCATCTGCTCTTTCTTTAGTCTGAGCTCATCTTCTTACAAATGACTTGTATTCATTCTCTCAGACCTCTGATCAAATTAACTATATCTAAGGGATTTAGCTAGAGAGATGGCTCAGTGTTTAAGAACACATATTTCCAGGGGCAGTAGTGGCTCATGCCTTTAATCCCAGCATTCAGGAGGCAGAGGCAGGAAGACCTCTGTGAGTTCAAGGCCAGCCTGGCCTAGAGAATGAGTTATAGGACAGTCAGAACTGTTACAGTGAAACCCTGTCTCAAAAAAAAAAAAAAAAAAAAAAAAACCAAACAAAACAACAAAAAAAACCCCAAAAAACCAAAACCAAAACAAAACAAAACAAAAAAACAAACCAACCAACAAACAAAAAACCACATATGGCTCAAAGAAGAGATCTTTGCTCTACTTAAAAGAGTAACCCCCCCCCCCAGCATTTCCTACATGCTTTACTCTTCTTACATTTTTCCACAGAAAACTATGGTGCACGAAATACTCTGTATTAACCAATTTCGTAGCTTATATTTTTGTCTTCTTAAAACTTGAATGTAAGCTCTATGTAGGCACTGACTGTGTCCTTTCTGTTACTTGTCTGTACCAAAACATGCTAAGCACTCAGAAGATGAATGAATGAATGAGGATGAAGAATTGAGACCGTAGGGGTTGGAGAGATGGCTCAGAGGTTAAGAGCACTTGTTGCTCTTAGGATCAGGTTCTACTCCCATCACCCACACAGTGGTCCACAACCATCTATTATTTCAGGTTCAAGGGGTCTAACCCCTCTTCTCATCTCCATGGGAACCAGGCATGCATTCCCTACATAGAAACGCATACAAGCAAAACACTCATAAAATAAGAAAATCTAAAAAGCCTTTTCAGTAAGACTTAGGATTCTCACAGACATGCTTGGATAAGGGACTTGAACCCTATGTGCTGAGGGTCAAGAAATCCTGTTAATAATAAAACCTTGTTAATGACTTACTACAAATTGGAGGCTTCTTTAGAAGGCAGAATCCCACTCTGCTGTGATTTTTTAAAATTGTAATGAGATTCTGCCTATATTATGTTCTTTATAACATGAAATCTAATGTTTATTATGTCTTGTAATAGTTTTTATATAATTACATATATAAAATATTAAGTTTAATAAAACTATACTTAAAATTTTCATTTGAAAGACAATATTTTAAAAAATATTCCCAACATTTTATGCTGAGAGAGAGAGAGGGAAAAAAAAAAGAAAACAGCCAGAGGCTATAACCGATATGATTCCATTTGTATGGGATATATGAAGAAATAAACTTATCCACAGTGAGAGAACGCAGATCTATGGTAGCCTGGTTTCAGGGGTGAAAACTGGCTGTAAAGGGCACAGAGACATCTCTATTTGTCCAAACACTATTATCCGAATCCCTGAAATGTACATTCACATTTTACTTTGTATGTATGCATATGTGCATGCCTGTGTACACATCTGTGAGCACATGTGTGTGTAGGGCAGAGGTCAACTTTGAGTTTCCTTTCTCAAGGTCTGCCACTTGAGGCATGATTTCTCACTGGGACCTGAATGATTAGATTAGGCTGGTTGGCCAACAAGCCCCAGGGAGCCTGTCTCCATCTCCCTAGCACTGAGACTTGGAGTGTGTGCCACCATGCCTGGTATTTTTATGTATGAGCTGGGGATCCAATGCTCACACTCTGAGCCATCTCCCCAGCTCTATAAATAGACACATAAAATTTCTTCAATAGAGTTTATTTAAAACCATGTCTACATTATACTTTTAGAAAAGTCAAGAATATCCTGGAGGGCAGGTGAGGTGGCTTAGTGGGAATGGGCACTTGTCACCAAGCCTGATGATCTGAGTCAGATCCCTAGGACCCACTTGGTGGAAGGTGTGAATGAACTCTAAGTTGTCCTCTGACATTCATGCTGTACTTTGGCACATGTTAAGTGCACACACACACAAACACATTCTAAACAAATAAATAAATGCAATAAAAAAACATCATGGAAGGAAGTGCACATAGACATATCCAAAACAAATAAATGTAATAAAAATATGGGAGTACAAACACACAAACACATTCAAAACAAAAATAAATGCTATAAAAACATAATGGAAGGGAGTACTTTGAACTTTTTTAGGGAAACATCTTTAAATTTAAGGATGATAATTTAAAATGTGAACGACTAGCTACTATCCCATTGAGCAGTGATGGAATACTGAAAGCAATAGTCACTGCAAAAGACTTAGAAGAAGAAAGAAGAAAGAAGAAGGAGAAGGAGAAGAAAAGAAAAACCCAAACCCCCAAACAGCATTATCAAAGATTCAGATTAAAAACTCACCTCCAGGAGCAGAGCCTGGGCTTTCTGTTCTGGCAGTAAGCGAAGTCCGGCTGTTGCTTTCAGAACCACTGGGGTCCTTTTCCAGTGACTTCTGGGGATTGAGTCTTTGGCCACCTCTAAGAGTGCTTGAACAGTCTCAGCACCCTTTAAAAGAGAAAATAACATTTATCCAATGGCAGGCCACTTAGCAGCACTGGTCTAATCCTTCCTAGCCAAGTCACAGAAGTAATTTGGTAGAGTGAGTGCTCTGCCCCTCTATCTGCAGAAGCAAAACCTAAAGAAACCAAGGGGGGGGGGAGATGAGGAGGGGTATGGGGGTTGGGCAGAGGACTTTAAAGAAGACTCCATTTCTTTTCAAGAGTCCTAATTAAACTTAATCTTTTTAAAATTATTTATTTTTACTTAATGGGCATTGGTGTTTTGCCTACATATTTGTCTAAGTGAGGGTGTCATATTGTGAGCCATATTACTGAATAGCATGAGATGTTTAATGACAGAGGTTGTAGACTTATCAAGGCACCAAGACACTAAATATCAAATTAGCCAGGCCAGGTTTTGTCAGCATGGTCACAGCTATTCAAGAGGGTGAGGCAGCAAGATCACAATTTTAAGGCCTTCTAATGCCAATAAGTGAGTTCAAGGTCAGCTGTGTCAACTTGGTGAGATGCTGTCCCAAATAAGAAGTGAAAAAGGTTCTTGGGCAGAGCTCGGCCACAGAGTGCTCACCCTGGGTTTGCTCCCTAGCATGCATAACATGGAAACGGACCTGTCAATCACAATACTCACCTGCTTGGGTTGATCTGCAAAAGCAGAAAGTCCTGGCTTCACAGAATCAAAAATTTCACCTTCCAGAAAGGGGAGCTGTCCTGTTTTGTCCATAGAAGAGAGGGAAGGAGAGGGAGGGAAAAGGAGAGGGAGGGAGGGGAAAGGAGGGGAAGGGAAGGAAGGAAGGAGAGGAGAGAGAGGGAGCGAGGATTACCAGATGTTAGACTGCTTCAGATGCTACTCTCTAGACACTGCTGTATGTATGAATTAATAGAGTAAAACAGTCTTCATCTGAGCTGAGAGGAATATTCTGCACAAGTATTAGGAAGGGAGACCACAGGGTGTAATGCAACCCTAGGGGGCCTCCTTGCCATCTCTCTGCTGGGACTCTAGCTTTTTCTCCTTCCTCCCAATTCCATATTTTTTGAGACAGGGTTTCACTATGTAGCTCAGGCTGGCCTTGAATCCCCTACTCAACCTCAGCCTTGAATTGTGGTCCTCCTGCCTAAGCTCCCTGGGCTCTTTTGATAAGGAAAGAAAACTGACAATCCAGAGAAAGTTCGTCTTCAAGGTCCCTTCTGTCCCCTTTCCAAGGGTGGCAATGAAAACTCACATGGGCACTTCTCCCCAGAATCACTGCCAACATTCTCAATATTCTGTGCCTCTGGGGTATTAACCTTTAGAGAAGATGAAGGCAAATTACAGCTGTAGTTCTCTCTCTCTCTCTCTCTCTCTCTCTCTCTCTCTCTCTCTCTCCTTTTTGAGACAGTGCCTATTGTGTTGCACACTGGTCTCACACAGTGGCTGAGAATGACCCTGAACTCCTGATTCTCCTGCTTTCACCTCCCATGTGTCTGGATTACAGCCATGCATCACCATGCACAATTTATGTGCTATTGTGGATCAAACCCAGGACTTGAATGTTAGGCAAATGATCCCCCAACAGAGCTACTGCCCGGGTCTGTACCACATGAGTGTCTTTTAATTTCACATTAAACTAAACTATGTGTTCAATAATATATCTAAAGAACTATATCCAACAGCTGGAAGTTTCTCTACGCCATGACCCACCCAGCACATCTGTTTCTGGGAAAAGATGCATAGACACAAGCAGACTGCAAAGGGTCCCAGCTGCGCTTACCGGCTGTCTTCTGCACGAAGGTGTAAACATGAATCCGAGTTCCAGTGCTGCCCGCATCAAACATAATTCCATAAAAGGTGCTGGCACTGACATTAATGGGGCACATGGAAGACAAGAAGACACCCTCAAACCAAGTCTGCTGTTCTCTGTAGAAGACTGTGCTGCTAACACAGGCTATCATCAGCATGAAAAAGATAGCACCCCAGGAACTGGCCATATCCTTCCCAAGATGTGGACCTGAGCCTTTGCTGCTGAAGCAGTGTTGTTCACACTCCTGTAGGGGCTTAGGGAACAAAGATGCAATGCATTAGTTGATTGGCTTTAGTGGTTAACCTATTTTAAATAAATAAATACCACATTGTGGAAATCCTACCAGTCTCCAAGGTGTTCCTTCTCTGTTTCTCATAACCAGTACAACAAGCTAAACCAGGGCAATAGAGGCTCTCAGGCCCTTCTTCTGAAGAATATCCGATTCCAAAAGGAAACTGGGATTTAAAGTATACTTTCCCACACTGTGTCTTGAATTGTAGGCTTTTCACACACTCAGAGGCTGCCTTCTTCCCTGCTTCTATATGGTCCGGCTTAAAGTTCTTTCCATTTTGACAAATTTGCCGTTATATCACACAGTAACACACCTCTCTCCTCTTGGTTTTGACTGTCACTTAAACTGCATTCAGCTGGGCCTGATGGTATAGCCTCTACATGGGGCTAAGGATCATAAGTTTGGGGGCCTATCTGGGCTACAGAGCAAGTTTAAGGTCAGCTTGTTTAACTTAAGGAGACTATCTCAAAATGCAACATTTTTAAAGGAAGACAGAGGTCATGTATTGATATCTTTGCCTGTATACATGTCTGTGTCCTATGTTCATGCTCCATGGCCAGAGAGGCCTGAACAGGAGTCAATACCCTGGAATTGGAGGTTCATAACAGTTGTTAACAGCTGTGTGGGGACAGAGCATTGAACTTGGGTCCTCTGTAAGAGCAGCCTGTGAACAGACAAATTTTCTCTATCCTGTGAATAGACAAATTATGGTAGAGACATTCTATGTCTTGATAAAAGTCATAAAGCAAGTCAGTGGTACAATCCTGACCAGAAATCAGATGTTTTCTTTTTCTAATTTCAAAATCCCCTCTTAGGGCAAATGTATGTGTTCATATGTTGAGGCAGGGTCTAAATAACCCCGCAGTGTCCTGGAACTCACTATGTAGACCAGGTTGTTAAAAAACCTACAGAGACCCACATGCCTCTGTGTCCTAAGTACAGGGATCAAAGGGTATGCCAACACTGCTGGCCCTAGCAGCGGTATTTTTAAATGTGCCCTCAGAAGAGACAAAACCAGTAATGGGTTAGGTAACTTTGTTTTGCATTCGTTCTAATGCTGCTGGAAACCTAGCATAAAGGCATGGGACACAGGGGAGAGAGCACAACTGTCAAGCCTGAGTCCTGGGTTTCATGGGTTTCAGTCCGGCACTTGTATCCATTGGGGAGCTACACAATCCTGAGGAAGTCCCTTAGCATGAGCCTTCAGTACCTTGTCTGTAAACGGAGTGTAAGAGCAAGTGTTCTGTTTTTAAACCACAAGATAATGTCTGAAGATTGATTATATAGACTCTTCTAATCTTTTCCTAGGACTGATGTTATAGGAAATGGGAGGAGACAGTGGATTTGTTATTATCATTATATTATTATCAGCTATTATTATTATTGACAAGAGGCTTTCTTTTTTCATCACAATGCATCAAAGCCACTCAAGGAAGTTGTGAATGTTTTTGAGATCTGCGATGAAAACCCTCAGTAGCAGGGCTGGAGAGATGGCGTACAAGAGCATGCACTGCTCTTACAGAGGGAGGACCCCAGCACTCACATAGTAGGGTACTTTATAACAGCCTGTAATTCCGGACCCATAGGATCCCTCTCTGTCATGCAAGTACTCACCCAACACACACAATCAGCACCGCTACCCAGCACCACTGAAAGGCACAGGCACTGCCATTCTCAATCTGTCACTAAACTCCTTCCAGGGTCACTCAGATTTTCTGTATTACCATGGTTTCCATAAACCTCTCCAGCAAACATTTGTTTTCTTCCAGAAGAGATTAAAAGGGGGAAAACACATGCTAAGTATCTGTTTTCATGGAATGAGAAACTGCAGAGTCATACTTGTGTAAGAAGAAAGTTAAGCAAAGGGTTTACAAGAGAGCAAGACCTCGCACGAGATGCCCTTTGCCCCCAGCACCTTCCTTTTAACACTGCTTGCAATCTCCTTTTTCTTTAAGACTGGGCATTTTGAATGGTATTAGATGGGCTTCACAAAGGGCACTGCATTTCACAAGACCAGCTTGCACAGCTTGCTCATTCACTTTTTAATAGTCTCTACTCACATGTCACGTTCTCAGTGAAATCCTCCCTGTCCTCCTTTAAAAAAAAAAAAAAATGCAGCTCAGCTGGCCACATGTTCATTCTTTCTCTATTTTTCTTCAGTGATTTTCTCCTCCCCTCACCCAGTCTCCTTCTATTTCCATGTCCCTCCCTTCTCCACATCAGTCCTTCTTTCATGAGAGCTACCCACCTACAGGGGTTTTCAAGTTGTGCTTCTGATGTGTTTATTGCTACAACAGTGATAATACGCAGTAGGTGCTGGATCCCCTGAAGGGATAAAGGCAGACCTACTAGCTCCGACATAGGTCTGAACCATTCAGCACAGTATAGGACCTTGACTTCTTTCCAAAGAATTAATCACCCCACACTGGAGAACATTATTCCTAGCTGTCCAGGACAGACTACTTTTCCAAATGTGTAGATTACACAGAGGTTTCATTTTGTCCATTTTGCATGTTACTCAAAATAATGAGGACGGATGTTTGGTTCCTTTTACAGACAGGGGAGAATATAATATATTTAAGCCCACTCTTTTCAGAATTGTTTTCTTCAATAATCTCTTGCTCATTCTCTTCTCTGAGACACAGCCCCTTCAATTGCTCTATGCCTTTGGTACCAGGTAATGTATGCCCATCTCCTGTTACAGGCTTTTCGAAAGTGGTTTTTGGTTGGCTTGTTTTCTGATAAGGTCTCCCTATGTGGCTCAGGCTGGCCTCTAACTCAGATCCTCTCTCCTTCACCTCCTGAGTGTGTCACTGTTTCTTTATAACCTGCCCAGCCTTCCCAGAGCTTCCCATTTTGCTTGCCCTTTAGAATAAGAGAGACCACAATGCAAGAAGCCCCAGGGCCCGGGGGTACTCACCGGCTCCTGTCTGCCTGTTTGCTATGAGTGCTTGTGTTCACTGTGGATTGCCTTTGCTCTTTGCTCCTTGTCCAGCCCTTCTGAAACAATCCTTGCTTTGCAAATGAGTCACCCTGTGCTCACTCATTTTGCTAACTCATTCCCGTCTTTATCCTTACCTTCGCCACCTTTCTTCTGCATACATGATTGGTTCATTTACTTCTATAATTGCTAAATACCAACAATACCAACCAACAGAAGATTCTTTGTTTGTCTGTTTTGAGGAAGGGTGTTTTGAGACAGGGTTTCTCTGTGTGGCCCTGGCTTGTCTTGAAACTCACTGAATAGACCAACCTGGTCTCAAACTCAGAGGTCCACCTGTCTCTGTCTCTTGAATGCTGGGATTAAGGGTACATATCAGGACTGCCAGGCAGGGAAGATGTTTGTTTGTTTCTTTTTTTCTTTCATTTTTTACTCCAAACATTTATTTCATTATTCAAGTATCATGTGCTGAAGATGTATTCTTTTCCCATTGAATTAACTTTATGCTCTTAAAAAATCAACTGACAACATAGAAACATATTATATGTTATAGGCCATATATTACATATTATACCTTTATTCTTATTTTCACAATTTTTAAATTACTTTTTTTTCAAAGTCAGGATTTTATTTTATTTTATTCTTTACTAATTCCATGCATAGATTTATTAACAATACACAAGTTGCCAGATTTTCATCCCCTTTAATGTCATATTCTGCCTTTATAGTCATATTCTCTATCCATCACATTAACTCCTGAAAACCACTAGTGTTTCCATGTCTACAATTTCATAATTTTGAGGATGTTACATAAGTTAAAATGTACTATATGAATATTTAGAGAAATGCCACTTTTACTTGTAATAAGACCACTGAGTGGGGGGGGGGGCGTTGATGGCTCATGCCTTTAATCCCAGCACTGGGGAAGCAGAGTCAGGTGAATCTCTGTGAGTTTGAGTCCAGCCTGGTTTACAAGAGCTAGTTTCACAACAGGCTCCAAAGCAATACAGAGAAACCCTGTCTCAAAAGACCCAAAAAACAAACAAACAAATACCCCTGAGCCCCTGAGATCCATCTGAGTTGCTGCAGATACATATAATTTATCAATTTCTAGTGTTGATGGCTATTTATAATGTGTTTTCTTTATTAATTTATTTTTTTACATTCCAATCCCAGTTCCCCCTCCCTTCTCTACTCCCGTTCCCCCAGTCCCTCCCATCTGCTCCACGGAGAGGGTGAGAAGAAGCTTCTTAAGAACTGAGTTCTGGCGAGGCTTGGCAGCACAGGGCTGCAACCTTGGCATATAGGAGGCTGTGATATGAGAACTGTTAAGTCTGAAATCACCTTGGGATAACAAGTTCAAGGCCACCATGAGCTAAGTGATGAGATCTTGTCTCAAAAAATAAAATAAATTCTTGACTTTTGTTTTTTGAATATTTTTTTTACTTATGTGCGCCCACCTTGTTGGGTCTGCCATGTGTTTGTGGGTGCCCACAAAGACCAGAAGGCATCATGTGTGCCCTGAAACTGGAGTTCCTGATGTTCATGAGCTACTACATGGGTGCTGTGACCCAAACCTGGACTCTCTACAACAGCAACAAATGGTCTTAACCTCTGAGTTAAGCCATCTCTCCAGTCCCTAGGTTGTTTTTATATTTGATAAATGGTGCGAAAGTTAATGATAGTTTTTATTCCTGGGATGGTCTCTAGAAAGCTGGGCATTGGTTTTCCAACTGAGTGTATAATATATCAGCATCAGACTAGGGTCTAGATCTACACATGACATCAGTTTTTACTGGGGAGACATACTTAAAAAAAAACAGATGGGTAAATTAATGGCTACAATGTGTTGGGGTAAGCTCTCTGGCAGAAATGCGTGAAGGCGCTAAGGAGCGGATGAGGAACAGGCAACTGCTTGGGAGGGGGATGATGGGGTAGGTGATGAATGACAGACTTCTTAAAGCAAGAGAGGCTGGGGCTGGAGAGATGACTCAATGGTTAAGAGCACTGATTGCTCTTC